GGGGCTCGCTCGACTGGCTAACTGCACGCACCTGAACCGCCGCCAAAGCTCAGCTCCAAAGCTGCTCTCCCTTTTCGTGTTTCGTCTCTTGATTAACCCAACCCAACCCTACCTGTTAGACGCAGCAGCTACAGCCTAGACGCGCAGCATCAACAGCAACAGCAGCAGCAGCAACAGCAGCAACTCCATCATCAACAGCAGCAGCAACTGCAGCAACATTTGCCCCAACATCTACCTCAGCATCATTATGGCAGCCAATCCCCATCGCGTTACTATGAGCCGCCCAAGCAGGAGCAGCAGCAGCAGCTGCAACACCTGCCGCTCACTGCCGCTGGGCTAATGCAATCGGTGGCAGATGAGATACAATTGAGCGAACAGCAGCAGGCAACACCGCCGCCCCCAGCAACAGTTGCAGCAGCCAGCGATGCTGCAGTGCCCAATGCTACCGCCGCCGTCTCCTCCTCCTCCTCCTCTTCGTATGCTGTCTACAGCTACTACAGAGATGTCGATGCTGAGCAGCACAATAACAGATCACAACAGCAGCAGCAACAGCAACTTGTGTGGAGGTAAGCCACTCCCCCTCCCCCACTCCCCACCTGTGCCGTCTCCTGCTCTCTGCCAGCTCTAATTTGGGTTGCCCGCGCTCCATTTCGGTGTGTGTGTGTTCCACACTCGCGTCGTTCCTTCTCGAACTTCGTGGAAATTGGCGTCGGCACGTAGCCAGCGGCACTTCCGAAAAATCAAGTTATGAAATTCTGTTTGTGCGGCTTCTGTGCTGCTTTTCTTCCTCTTCTTTGCTGCTTCCTCTTCTGCTATCTAGAGCTGCGCTGTGACACAGACCATTCCATGATCTAACTAAATCCAGCTCCATTGACTATGGCTCACAGTTTGGCTTGGCTAATTTACAGCTTCTTCTTCGCTTCATATAGATTTTTATGGAAATTATGATCTTTAATTTTATTTTATAATCTTTTATTGATTTTGTTGTTGTTGTTTTGTTTACGGTTTGGAATTGATTTAACATTTGCATTCATAACATTAATAACTTTATTTTGATCAATTTTGCATTAATTTAAAATAATTCACTTGTTTCGTTTCGTTCCACCTGATTTTCAAGGTTTTCAAGGCTCTCAGCATTTCCTTTCTTTTATGATATGCATTTGTTTAAACAATATACCCATCTATATCATCTATATTAACATTCATTCAAGCTCTTTTATTGTCTTTCAATTTTAATTTATTGTGCATTTTGTTATATTATTTTTATATACACATATACATGTTTTATATTTTATTAGTAATATCAATTATCTCCACATACTTCGGCTTACGCCTAGCTCATTAGTTTGGGCTTGTCTTCATATTGTTTGATATGAAACTCTTAAATCTTTTTTTAATAGACTCTTTCGCTTAATAGCCCCTCTCCATTGTGCCTATCTAACCTATTTTCATAAATTAACTAAATGTCTTATATGGTCACATTATTGACTTTCTATCACTCGTATGTAATTCTCTCAATGCCTCTCACTGTCTGTGTTTTGCTCGCACTCTCTCCCTCTCTCTCTTTCTTTCAATCTCGACCTCGCTCTCCTTATCATCCTCTCTCACTCTCTCTCTCTCTCACTGCACTTCTCCCTCAAAAGATGGAGATAGATCTGCATATCATTCTCTTTTCACCTCTCTCTATGTACACTCCTCTCTCTCTCTCTCTCTCTCTCTCACTATCCTCTTTCAGAATATGTTTCTCTTTACTTATACTGTACTTCCTGTCTTTATGGAATATCTATATCCTTGACGAGCTCCGTTTCTCTCTCTCTCTCTCTCTCTCTCTCTCGCTCGTTGTCTCTCTTGCTCTCATTCCCTAAATATTTATTTCTATCTCACTCTTCATTTTATCTCATCATCATTATGTCTCTCTCTATCATTTTCATATAATTTATCTGCCGCTTTCCCAATGAATTTTACTTACATCCTTTGTGCTCTTCTCAAACTCCTTGCTCACTTTATGTTAGGGTATACAATTTGCGGTCACAAACACAACACAACGCACACACAACAAGTTGTGTCTCAAGTTCTCGAGTCATTTGGTCGCTTGTTATTTTGGTTTTATATCAAGTTCAGGTTGTTCGGCTGTCGAAACTGTAACGGGGAGGCGAACTCTGCGGCACCGCTAAGGGGGCATGGAAAAGGTCGTTGCGGGTAGCCGTTGGCTTAGAAACACAATTAAAAGACAGTTTAAGCGCTTTTTGCCCCCGTCTTCAGCTGCGGCCGCCGTCTAATAACAACAGCTACGTGATTTACACGAAACTGACCCTAAAAACGGGCGGCCCAACGCTTTGTATATATACATATATATATACAACTATATGTATATGTATATGGATAATAAGCCCAGCTAGATATAAAAGCATATCGCATTACGAAAATGTTTTTGTTTCTGCAAAATGTTCTGTAGAACATTAAAAAAAAAAAAAAAAAACTGTTGCCATGTTTTCATATTGTACACATACACATACTCATGCACATGCATACACACATATAGCTTTGCGTTCAGCTGGCGATGTCCATGCTGTCCGGCCTTAACCCCACATTAAGCTGGAGAACATGTCGTAGAATTTTGGAATTCGGGTGAAATCGGGCACTCGACGGGCGCTCCGGTGTTTAGTTGAGGTCGCCGCCAAATGCACACGATCATAGATACAAATGTATCTCGCAATCGAGACAGCAGCGCTATGCCAAAAAAAAAAAAAAAAACCAAACGGCAGCAGCTGCTAAAGAAATTGCGACATTTTGTTCTCATTTTTGTCGTTTTTTTGGGGTTTTTATTTTAATGGTTCGTTTCTTGAAAACTTATTATTATGATAAAGCTTTTTATAGTCAACTTGAGCTTGTTGCAAATGAAGCTTTGTTTATATATAAACATTCTATGTATGAGATATAGCGTGTTTATGTGTCTCATATGTCCACAAGTCTCTCTCGGAGTATTCCTTGGTATTTAGATTAGAATTGACTTTTATTTTGTTGAAGCTCTTGTTAAATTTACCCAAATATATAGTTCGAGCATAACAAGTGAATGATTTCCATATATTTAATTTATTTTATACAAAATACTGTTATTTTTATTTTATGCACATATAAAAAAAATTTATAAAAATTAATAAAATAAAAAACAGTTAAATTAAATATTTCTATAATATATAATGTATATAACATATAAAAACAAATTGATAGTATTTTTTATGAAATACTTACATAAAATAAATTTTAGTATATTTATTTTTTTATACCCAGTATTTAGCTATATGAAAGTCAACTTAAATTCCCATTAAATACTTCTTGTAATAGTCGAATTTAGAAAGCCAAAAAATATATGATATTCAAATTCTAAAAACATCTACATTTTTTAGATAGCCGTATATATACAAAACAACTCCCAATTTATATATATATAATTCACTCCCAATAGTAGTAGTAGTAGTAGTAGACTTACTAAACTCTAAAACATATTACACAAGCCCAATCCTAGTGTTTTCACTGCTTGAATTTGCATTTTTGTCTTTGCCTCACAAAAATTGACAACGGAATTAAATCTGTAATTCAAAACAATTTTATACTTAATCAAATGTGAACAGATTAAGAAACAAGTTTTTGAATCATATTTAAGCTGTCGTTAGTGAGAAATGTTATTTAAATATAAATATATATAATATATATTGTAAGTAAATAAATAAATATATTTAAAATAAATATATATTTATAGTACTATGCCATCTAAAAGTCCATTAAAAGTATCGGCTCATAAAAAAAACAACTTTTTAGCATCACAATCGAAAACATTTACGATTTAGGCTGACCAAAATTCTAAATATACATTTTATTTATTTTCAAAAACCATTGACGTCATAATAAAAATTAAATTTAAATAAAAACAAAAACAAAAGACAAAAAAAATCACTCAGCTGTCAATTGGAACAAGTTCTCTTTGCTTTTAATTCGAGCCGAAATTCCCGAAAGATTTTTTTGGCTTAAAATGTGACTCAAAATTCTTGACCAACTTTGGTAAAGCTCTCGACGGCGGTGACCTTGACAATAATAATGATGAAGAAGAAGAAGAAGCAGTATAAAATTATATGATTCAATTCTGTTTGTCATCGAAAGAAGCAGAGAAAGAGAGGAGGGACGGGAAGACAGGAGAAGAGGGCGAGAGATTTAGGCCTTTTACCCCGCGAAAATAAAGCTCTTGATTATTTTCATTGAATGCAATTTGTTTTTATTGTGCAGTTATATCTATATATATATTTGTCGACTGGTTTTTATTTTATTTTTATTTTCATTTGTATTTTTTTTTTTTTTTGTGTTTTTTTCTTTTGCTGGACGCGCTGCAGCTGGAATCTGGTTTGGTTTTTCAGTTGTCGTTGCTCCTATTCGGCTCAGTGTGTGTGCGTGTGTGCTTGGGTGTGTGTCTGTGTGCGTGTGTGTGTGTGTGTATTTGAGTCGATTGGCCAGTTGGTAACAGGTCGCAGCTTCAGCTGCAGCTACAGGTGTATGTAGTTGTTGGCTGGCTGGCAAATTAGGCGCAGCCAACGGATTAGCAATTGAAAATTTGCAATTTCTGCATATTTTGCGCACTTTTGATTGCCAGTTTTCTGATTGGGATTTGCCAATTGATTGGAGTACCGTTAGGTGGACAGTGTTTGTCTCACTGTGTGTGTGTGGGTGGGCATTAGTAATTAAGTATTTAAGCATAATTGTTGATAATGCCAGGCTAATTATAATTAATTAAGTAATTAAGCATTTAATTTAGGCAAATTGAAATGTAAATTTGTTTACTCATGCCATGCTCTCTCTATCATCCTCTCTCCCTCTCCCTGTCACTCTCTCTCTCTCTCTCTCTCTCTCTCTCTCTCTCTCTCTATCGTTATATGTTTTCTCTCTTATTTCTATCAATTGCTATCTCTGTTGCTCTGCCATTTCCTTCGTCTTATGATCTTTTTTTGCAGCAATGCGAGCAGCGCCGGCAAACTGAATGGCCAGACCACACCTATCGATGTCTCTGGCCTATCGCAAAATGAAATTCAAGGCTTTCTGCTTGGTTCACACCCCTCATCGTCGTCCGCCACAACCGGCGTTGTCTCCACAACAACAATCTCACATCAACAACAGCAACAACAGCAGCAGCAACAGCAACAACAACAGCAGCAGCAGCAACAACAGCAGCAGCATCAACAGCAGCAGCAGCAGCAGCCGCCTCATCCCAGCGACATTGTGACCATAACCACGGCAGGAGTGGGGAGCGCGGGCTCGATCGTCTCCGCTGCTGTGCAGCAGCAGCAGCAACAGCAACAGCAGCAGCTGCTGAGCATCAAACGTGAGCCCGAAGACTTGAGCAAGGATCCAGCCAAGAATGGCAGCCTGGGCGCCTCAGCGAACGGTTCAGTCATAACGCAGAAGGTAGGCAAACAAAAACACACAAAAACAAAAACTATTCAAGAAATCGTAATCAAAAGCTTTACGTATTTAACGCTTTAATGGACACGCACGCAAAACGCAAAAAAACAAAATATAAAATAAATTAAAAGAAAGAAATTAATACGAAGAAGAGTTAGGCAAACTGTAACAGCGAAATCCAATTAGAAATTAGTAACATATTTGAGGCGCAGCAGCAGCTGCTACGCCAACGACAGCGCCAGCGACTCTCACATCCTGCGAGCACTCGCACTCGCTCTACTTTGTCTCAATTAACATGCGAGTGCGCTATGTGGTTGTTGTTGTTTGTTTTTGTCGCTGCTCTAAGACCTGCAATTGGTCTGGCCCGCTGTGTGTGTGTGTGTGTGAGCAATGAGTATTTGTGGGCTGCAGCCAATACGAATCAACGTCGTTTGCTGTTGTTGTTGTTGCCGCTGTCGTTCGTCGTTCGTCGTGGTTCTATTGACGCAAAAGCAATGAGACGACAGCAACAACAACAACAAGCAAGCAAGCAGGCAGGCTAGCAATAACAACAACAGCAGCCGTCGCTCAGTTTGCATTCGCGCAACTGTTATACACCCAACTTGTTATACGCGATCAGCAGCAGTTCGTTTCGTTTGTGCTTGCGTATGCGCGCATGTGTGAGTGTGTAAGTAAGTGTGTGTGCGTGTGCCTGTGTGATTTGTATATTGCGCTCGCTCGCACGCACGTTAACTGCGCATAAATCTGGCTTGCTTGCGCTTAGCTTGCAGCCAGCTAGCCGGTTCGAGTTGCATGTTGCATGTTCGATGCCCGCTGTGCTGTGCTGCTTTTTTTTTTTATCAATTGCATGCAAAAGCAACAACAACAACACCAACAACTACGAAATATAAGGTAGCTAATGAAAAACCTCTGGCATAATTAAAGCGCAACAAGTGCTGGGAAATTGCGCGACTTGGCACAAACAACAACAAGAGCAACAACATGAGGCTAAGCCAAAGGCGACAAAAGTTAAGTGCACACTTCCGGCCCACTGTGGCCGTTCTTCCTTCATAGTACGATCGAGCGCGCGAATCAATGAAAACTATTTTTTAATGCGGCGCTGCGCTGCGCTGCTTGTAACGCCCTGTCCGGCCGCTGCGCATGTCAGAATACGCGACAGCCTGGCAGAGATTCCAACCATTTTGAACTGATATGCGCGCATGAGTGTGTGAGTGTGTGTATGTATGAGTGGGATTGCTGTGTGTGTGTGTGTGTGTGTGTGCTGGTCCAACTGGCCGACGCAACGCTGCCGTCTGTCTTCGCTTGCCGCTGTATATGTGTATGTGTGTATGTGTGCGTGTTGGTTGGTTCGCTCGTAGCGTTCAGCGTTCAGGTAGCGCCGTCGCAGCCGCTGTCGCCGTCGCCGTTGCCTCTGTCGCCGACGTTGTCATACGTGGGGAATCGGTCAGTCAGTCGTATCACGCTGTCGGAGTAGGATCGTTTCTGCGATTCGTCTGATATTTGAGCGCCGCGAATGCTTCTCCTGCGCGTAAAATCTTGTAATGCGAGCGCAGCAGCTACAACAACAACAACTGCGACATACAACAAGAGCAACTGCAACAACGTGTTAAAGTGTCTTATTGTTCAGATTCAGTGATCAGTGTCAATAAACCCAATCATCTCAGCCTCCCCTTTAACTAAACCAATGTAAGTGTGTGCGTGTATGCGTGTGTGTGTGTAAGTGTGTCTGGCCGAATTTGATATGCCTTTTGCTATTTTGCATATTGTGTTATGATATATGATATATATATATATATATATCTATAGTATATATAGTGCCGCTTGATTGGAATGTGGGCGCCCAGTTGCCCAGTTAGCTAATGCAACCAGCAACAACAACAACAACAACAACGAAAAACACCTGCAATCAACATGCAAACGCGCGCGCGTTCAAAATCGAAACGAAACAAAAGCAACTGTAACAATAACAACAACAATCAAATAACAAATGCAACACAAATTGAGCGAACACGCGCAAAAGACAAACAACAAACAGCAACAGCAAACGAACGAACGAACAACAACAACAGTAGCAACAACAGCAAGTTGCGTGTGGGCGTGCAGCAGCAGCAGCTGAGCTGAGCTGTGCTGAGCCGAGCCGAGCCGCAAACGCGTTGCCTTTCAACACCCACGCGCGGCGAACAAGTTTGTGCTCTAAGTCTTTTGTTTGGCGCGCGAGAACCCAAGCAACAACAACAGCGACAGACACTTTGTTGTTGCTTTTTAACGCTTTTTGCAGATGAGAGTGGGCTTATAGTGCGTGTGTGTGAGTGTGTGTTTGTGTGTGTGAATTATTGAAAAGAAAAAATTCATTGAGCAAAATCATTTCTTAGCTCAATTTAATTGCCTTGTTTTCTGCTCGTTGTTGTTGTTCTGCTTGTTATTGGCATTTAACTATTACAATATGCAATTTGCATTGCACTCTAATTTATTGTACATTAATAAGAAATAATAAAAAATATTTTTTTATATTCGCTAATTATTCGCAATATTTGTCTTGGCCAACGACATTTGCATAACACGCGTCGCCCAGTTGATAAAGTCTAGAGAATTTTTTTGTTGCGTTTGACAAATCGCCTAACTAATTTATGCCACAGAATTTAAATTGAACACAATAACAACAACAGCGACAAAATGACATAATGAAATGAGAGGGAAAAAGAAAAATGGCAACAAAATGTATATATGATAAATGAAAAATTGATATTGCAATTTATTGCAATGCTTGAAACTTTAGACCGGAAAATGTAATCATTAGCCAATAAACAACAACAACAACAACAACTGAAAAACTGCAACAACAACAACCAATAGTTAATAACGAATATAAAAATGGTGTCAATAAACCGCCTGCTGTTCGACTAATTATTAAAACTGCTCAGAACGTGCGAATGTTTGTTTTAAAAATCGATATCTTTGCACATATCGATAATTATTGTTGTGAGACTTAAATCATAAATCTGAAATCAAAGTTAAATTCTGGAAAAACTGCCGGAACTATAAACAATCGATAAGTATTATCGATAATGCATTATCGATAAGATATGCATAATTATTGAAATTTTTTAGTGTGTTGAAAATATTAGAATTTTACACCTATTTTACTAAAACTCAATCATAAAGGTGTGATCGATAACATAAGAAGCTTTCGATGTGAGTTTTATGTATGGCCTTCAAAGACTGTATTGAAAAATGTTTTACATTAAAAACATACAAAAACTTGATTGCAAAGCAACAGGTGTTATCGATAACGATATATGTATATTTAATTACTGTGTTTCCTATCTTTCTAACTGTTGAAAACTTGGCTCTTAGTCTTACTTATTATTTATTTTGCGACGTAAACGGAAGTGTATTCGTTAGCTATATATGAAGTATCAGAGAAAATCGATATTAGTATCGAAAGTATTGAAAATGACATTTTAGTATACGATTTTTAAGATTCCTTATCTTTTTAATAATAATACGACTTAAATTAATCAATCTCGCAAAAATTAGGATTTAATTTTTACAGGCTTATCGATAAAACAAAATCTGACTACAGTTTGTTAATAATAGTCAATATAAGCTTAAAGTTCGTTTAAATATTAATCTATGCATATGAATAGTCTATAACAAATCTTTCGATACATTATCGATAGTTAATAATATGTTATTTGCATATAATTGATAGACTATATATACCGAAATTAGCTGGATATTTAAAAGTCATTTAAGAGAAGAGGAAGAATAATCAAAGGAAAAAGAGGATGAATAATTAATAGATGAAAAACAAAAACAATTATCGATTAATCGATTTCATTTTGATCAACTTAATTTGCCTAATTTTGTCCAATTAATTCATTTCGTAAGTTTCGATTTTCTTTGACTAGCTAACCTAGGCTAAGCCTGCATGAAAAAAAACCCTCAGAAAACGATCATTCACAAAAGTTCCCCCAAAAAAAAAATGCGAAAAAGAAGCAAAAACAAAACTATTAAGAAACTATATATAATAATATATTAGTGAGAATAATAATAATGATACTGACAATAATGCTGTATGTATTATTGTTTTGCCTTGGTTTATTTCCGAGAATTAACGATATGCATAAAACGGCCAGATGAATAGAATCTTGACAAAAACGAATAAGAAACAGCCGAAGCAGAAGAAGAAAAAAGTTTCACTTTTTATCAAAACCAAAAGGCATTAAAATAGTTAATTGGCTTTATTTAAATTTAGTTTTTTTTTAAGATTTTTTTTTTACCTCATTTTGTTTTTTTATTTCTTCCTCATACATAAATATGTGCCAGAAGACGCGCTTAGCATAATTCTAGCCAGCCAATAGCTCAGTTTAGTATGGACATATAATATATAGTTTGTATATATATAGGTGTGTATGTGTGTGTGTGTGTGTGGCATATGCAAAGCGCGCTGTTTTATAATAGCACAAGCTAACGAACGATTCCTAAAGTTTCGATAATTTTGTGACCCGCACAAGAAAACAACAACGAAAATCCAAAAACCAAAAATATTTGTCGATTCGTTTGGCTCAGCTTCACCAAGGCCTTTTCTGACGTTGCACGCTGTGTGTGTGTCTGTGTGTGTGTATTTGTTTCTTATTTTTCGAAAATGCAAATTGATTTTTATGAACAAATTTAATTAGCTCGCAGCTAGAATCTCAGTAGAGCTAGCCCCCACTCGGAGCAGCCGAAGAAAAGACAATCAGACAGACAACAAAGGCAAGCCACATTAGAATACATTCCAAATGTAAGCTTTACAAAACGAAAAACACGCATAACCAATCAATATAAGCACACACACACACACAAAGATAGACACGCAAGCACAGTTTAGCTGTTAGCTTAGAGAATTTAGCGGGAAAACGAAGCGAAGTGTTCAACAAAAAATGGAAAAATAAATAAATGAGGAAAATATTTAAAAAAAAATGTTTTCAAAAATTTACAAATTTATATTAAATATAAAAAAAAAACAAGCCCAAATTAACTTTAATATAGCTAGATTAGGAGCTTTTAAAGCTAGATTACCATAGGCAGTTTTCGCTTTAGTAATATTCAATTTTGTTAATTAAAGTGAGAAAAAAAATTTAAAAAATATATATAAAGTTGTATAAATATAATAAGAATATAAAATTTTATATACGAAAAAATAGCTAAAAACAAAATTTATTTAAATCTAGCTAGAGCTAGCTAGGAGCTATACTGGCTAAGCTATATTTTGCAGCGTTGCAAAGCTTTGGTTAAAAAAAAATAGTTTTTAAATTAAAATCAGGAAAAAATTACAAAATGTAAACAAAAACAACTTTAAAATGCATATAAATAGAAAAAAAATAGCTGCACACTAAATAAACTTATATTTAGTTAGATTTTAAGCTTTTATAGATGGGCCTCATCGGCTAGCTTTTGGTTTGATGACGTCTCTTGATTTCACTTTCTTCTGGCTTAGCGTGAAACACTCATCAGCTAAAATGTTAATTTAGATGCTAAGACAGGGCGTGGCAGCTGCCAGCCATTGAATGTATATTATATATATCTTGGCATCTGTATCTGTATCTGTAGCTATAGCTGTATCTGTAGCTGTTTCTTGGTGTATTACCTCATTTAGCGCGAGCGCGCGTCAACGCAGAGTCGCGCAGAGTCGAAAAACGTTTGACATTTTGGTGCGATCAATAAAATAAAAATAAATAAAAAGCAATGCTAATTAACATATATGCATATATACACACACACAAACATATATATCGATTTATATATATATATATATATTATTATATACCAAAAGTTATATACTTTAACTCTGTCCGTCTGCTGCTTTTTTTTTTTTTCCGCATTTTAATTGGTTTCTTTCCACTCGACAACCGACGACTGTTTCGATTTTTTATAGCATTTAATTTTGTTGCTGTTGTTGTTGTTTATGTATATATTTTTTATTTTGTTTTCATAAACTGTACTTTTTGTATTTATGAATCAGCTTCTGCTATAGGATAAAGCGCCTAAAAAGAACTTGGCTTTCAGCGAAGTTTGCGCTATTTTATTTTTTCCCCTTCTTCTTCTTCTTTTTCTTAACTTTTTGTCACCATTGACTTGATTTTGACCTTCCGCGTTCATAATCAGTCATCAATCAACAATAAACATTGACCACATGCTGATGTGGTTGTTGTTGTTGTTGTCGTTGTTTTTGTTTGTCTCTTTTGTGCATGTGTGCGATCAATCAATGTAATTCCTGCAAACAAATCATTTAGCTGAACCAATTCGATACCCCCAAGTATTTATGAATATTATTTGTGCCGGCTCGTAGAATTCATATATATTGCACGCTCCTCAACTAGGGTCTGTGATCCATGTTCAGTTCGGTTCCATAAGCCCCATTGAGGGTACAGAGTCTGAGAGCTTTCATTGATCTCATATAGAGCATGAGATCAGTTTTAAAAGCCTTTTAATCATTTCCATGTGCGTGCAATTAAAGTTCATTAGAGCATGATCTAACGAAGGTCTTAGAAGTCTATAATAATATATACATGTGTGTGTGTGTGTGTATGCATATATGTATATGAATTGCTTGAAACCGTATTCTTCTGAAGGTCGACGATTTAGCCAAGATCAGTTTTTGTATATTTTTGAGATAAGCTAAATATATTATTGAGCTCGAATTGATCCTGGCATAATTATTTTCTATACAGAAAATTATTATAATTACTGCTTGTATTTGGATTTAGCTTGCCTAAATCCACTTTGTATTCTATATAATATATGCTATAATTCCCTTACTAACTCTTTGAGAGCTGTAATAACTTTCTTATATATATTTGAAGTTTGAAATCAAATGTGAAAAGTTTTTTTTAATCTCCTGGTTGATAGTCTATAGAAGAGATAAAGTTTGTCTCAGATTTGCCTAAGAAATCTTTACTTTATCAATAAAAATATATATTAAGTTTGTCAAGATTCTATGAATCAAACGCTGCTCTACCCTAAGTCGATCTAAGCTAAGACATTATCGAACACTAATTTTTGGAAATGCCCAGACGAAACATGACCGTGATTGTAGTTTATGAAAGAAAGTATCTTTAAGTAGCCAAGTTGCCAACAGTTGAAAGAAAAACGAAACAAACACAAAAGCCAAGAAAAACCAACACAAATCCAAACGAAAATTCACAGATATTGCGCGTGGATGCAGCTAGAAGTGAAGCAAGTGGGGCAACTGCAACTGCAACTGCAACTGCATTCGATATAGCCAATAAAACGGCAACAGCTACAGCAGCCACAGCAACAGCAACAACTGCAACATCAGCAACTGCAACTAGTCCCGCCAGAGAGACAGCAGATCTAGAGATGTATGCTACCACGGGCGGCACACAGATTTATCTACAGGTGAGTGAGCCAAACGGAGCAAGTGTATAGAAGAGTGAAAGAGATTGAGAGATTGAGTGAGAGACTGACCTGAACTCCTGCAGACCTCACATCAGAACAGCAATGGAACCAGCACACAGCAGAGCACATTGCAAGCCCAGAGTCCCAGTCCGGGTCCATATATCACAACGGATAGCTATGGCATGTACACGACGACACGATTGCCACCTGGACCGCCACCTGCCACCACATTCATAACGGAGCCCTACTATCGTGAATACTTTGCGCCCGATGGCCAGGGCGGCTACGTGCCAGCGGGCACGGCGCGCAGCCTCTACGGCGAAGATGTTTCCGTATCGGCGGCCGCCCAGCCGCAGCCAGTGGGCGGTGTCTATGAGGCGCGCTTCAGCAGCAATGCGCCCACCACCACCACAGTGCTAACCAGCAGCAATGCACACCATCACAGTCAACAACAACAGCAGCAACAGCAACAGCAACAGCAGCAGCAACAGCAACAACAGCAGCAGCAGCAACAGGAACAGTCGGGCAAGAACGGTGGGACGCCGCTCTATGCCAAGGCTATAACGGCGGCGGGTCTCACCGTGGACTTGCCCAGTCCCGATTCGGGCATTGGCACGGATGCCATAACGCCGCGGGATCAAAATCACATACAGCAGGTATACACACACACACACACACACAGAATACAACAGTAGAGCGTAACGAGTAGCGGCCAGTGCCTGTCGTAATTCCACTTGTAGAACCCATACCCAAAATCTCTTATAGTATCAGCTAACCCATAAATTTCTATTAGCAATGAATAACCCATAAAGAGTAATGAGTAATGAGTAATGAGTAGTTAAAAAAGCGTGACGTGTCCATTAAATTCGTACTTAATAAAAACTTTTCATATAATACATATATAATATATATAAAGTCTTATCATTATTATCAAAACTAATGAAACATATTTGCAACTTCTTTTCGAACAGTCCTTCGACTATACGGAACTGTGTCAGCCGGGCACCCTCATCGATGCCAATGGCAGCATACCCGTTTCAGTGAATAGCATACAGCAGCGCACCGTGGTCCATGGCAGCCAGAATAGTCCAACCACATCGCTGGTGGATACGAGCACAAATGGATCGACACGCTCGAGGCCCTGGCACGATTTCGGACGCCAAAATGATGCTGATAAAATACAAATACCAAAAATGTAAGTAACCACCAAATACCCTGTAAATATAAGATTATAGATATAACTATTTGATTATTCATATACATAAATATATATTCAGCTCTGTTCGTAAAATGAGCCACATATGCTGTAAACTGAATTCACTTATGTGAAATTCGATTATTCCTACATACATATATATACAGGTGTGCTCATATAAATAGTAGGCAGACTGAGTAGACTGAATGGACAGAAAAATAACCTAAAAATACCCTTGAATCTAGCTACGTGCTTAGGCTCAACTGCTTTGACTCTATGTAAACTACGATTGTTCCTATCCAAATACATATATAGATATGTAGATATACAGCTGCTTACTAAAAAAAAAGAGACAAAAATCATTCCCTCATAGCCAAATATATATGTAAAACTATAGTTTTTAATAAAGCCTAACTTCATATATTACGTTTCACATATATACATTACTCTAATACATAGTAGTAACTCCATTATAATCACACCTGCGTGGCATCAAATTGCTTCAGCGCACTTCGTTGTCACGCCTCCTGAGTTATTTTCCACAGCTCTACTTTGCTCTCAATAGACTCACTCAATTTAATATATAAATTTTCTTTTGTCTGTGTGTTTTCTTAGCTTCACAAATGTGGGCTTTCGCTACCATCTGGAGAGCCCGATCAGCTCGTCGCAGCGTCGCGAGGACGATCGCATCACCTACATCAACAAGGGTCAGTTCTATGGCATTACGCTGGAGTATGTGCACGATGCGGATAAGCCAATCAAGAATACAACAGTTAAGGTAAGACTCTAACTCTATGCCTATCTCTCTATACATATATGTATGTATATATTTATGTATATTTGATATTGATTGTGGAGCTAGCTGATCGTGAGCCTTGCTCTGGCTGTCAACAATCATTTGAGGCTTAAGACTTGAAACCCTTTTCAGGCTATTTGTCAGCTGTGCGCTCTCGAGTAGCTCGGGAATGTCAGTTTGCCTGAGCGCTAATCAAGTTTGGCAGCTATCGCCACCCTTTGCTCAATTGCGCACACACATGCGGACAGAGCGAGAGAGAGAGCGCAGCAAGGACATCGCATATCCTGCTTAAGGCGCTGCGATCTGCTCTACCTTATATGCATATCCCGATGATAAATGATAAATGATACGCCAAGGCGTCCGTCTGTCCTTATGAGAATTTGAATATGCCGCTCAATGCAAATTGCGAGCCTTTCAGCACACACACGCACACACACGTACGCATTCCATGTTTATTCAGGACTACACAGGATATTTTTTTCAGCCTTTAGCTGCTCACAATACGCATCAACATCATCAATCAGATAAGCTTAAATGACGTCTTCTGACTCGCTACTGGATGAAATGCAAATTGTAAACTGAACCCGTTGAGTTCTAGACAATCAAAGTTACAGTTGAATGTGAAAAGTGTGTGTTTTGGGTCCCTCGAATACGGAATGTGGAATGTGGAATACGGTATGCTCAATGCTCAATGTGGAAGTGCCAACGGTTCGGCTAAGTAAACAACAATTGAGATTGAGTTGCTGCTTCTTGCTGCTGCTAGGGTCTGAAATAGGAACTGTCTCTTCACATTTCGCATTTGCATACGTAAATATAATGAAAAAAGCTGCGACAAATTGAAGCAACCAAATTAAAATAATAAAAAAGTTTCTTAAAACTGTCGTGAAGTGTTAAGAATAACAGTAAGGAAAAAAGCAGGAAACTCTTTAAAAAAAAAAAGTCTATAATAATGGGGATTTAAATAAAACAGAATTTCTCAAAAAGTTACAGGAAAATCCAAAGATCTTTAGATAAAAGCAAGGAAAAGGGTTTACAATTTCTTCAGTTACTGAAAATTTCCCAACTGATTTTATCTATATTTTACATAATTAAGGGACACTTAGGAAAAATTAATACAACCTAAATTCAACTGATCTTTGGGGAAAAATTCGAAATAGTAAAAAATATCCAAAGCAAATTTACCTAAATATGTTCAAAAAATATTTTACAGATTGAAAAAAATATATAAAATATTTATTTAAATATTATAAAATTATTTTTTTTTTTTAAATATTAGAAATATTGAGTAAGAGGAAAATAATCCACATTTGAATAATTGATAAGCCATGTAATGGAATTTCTATTTTTCAAAGTCAAAGATCTTGACTGCATTTATAAAAGTCTGAATAAAAGTAGAACAGAAAATAGGCCTAGGCTCAGAACCCACCTGGCGATAGACTTCGATGCCCCTATATCATATTTTCTCATTGTTTCTTTCTCGACTACCCAACTAATTGTGCTTTATGAAGTGCCGCAGCTCGTCTCGTCTCGTATTACCATAAAAGTGCAATAATTTTTGCGCTAGACTTTGGAAAAAAGTGTCAAAATGAATTTACGAGTTTATTTGTTTAACCCTCTAGCCCTTTTCGGGGCTGGCAGAGGCCATCGATATAAGTAGTAGCAGCAGAAGAAATCCGACTATAAAGTGAGGCTGAAGAAAACTGTAACCCAAAGTTGAAAAATTAAAGCAACGCATTTGCATAGTCGTGTCCATTTCCCTATCAATTTCCCAGCGTCTAACGGTGAAAAACTGACAAAAATAAAAGAAAAAAAAAACGAGTATAATTTACGAGCTGATTAGCCCATGAATATTTACGATAAATGCAGAGAGCGAGAGGGAGAGAGTTAGATATAGAAAAACTTAAAGATTCAAGAAAAAGGCGCACAAAATACACAAAAATATTTATGCACAGTAATCAGCAAAGATCATAGGGGGTAGGGGGTAGGAGGCAGAGGCAGGGGGTAGGTGCAGGATAGCGGCTCATAGCAAAGGGGTTGCAATTTTTGACTCGTTCTCTGGGCCAACATCTATCTGTGCGCTTCCTTCGGCGCTGTCAACGTAATTATTCAAAATGTAGAAAAAATCTGAAAATACATAAATGATGCACACAAAATGCAAATATCTATGGGAACAAAGCGAGAGGAGAGAAAAAGACTCGAGTTACTTGAAGAGACAAATGTGTTAGATATTTTTCTGCTAAATCGAGTTCGTCCTTTCTGTTTTTCTTTTTTTTTTTATGCTTCTCGCTTCCTTTAATCCTTTTGACTTTGTAGGGTGCGAGCCTACGGAGCTAGACGTAGACAGCCAAAACATATGTCACAACGCGTATACATCAAGCCTGATTGGATAAGAGCAATGAACTGTGCATAGATACCCTATATATAGTTCCTTTACAAGAAATATGAATTTTGAATATCTTCTTCTTTTCTGCCCAGATTATTTATTTTAGTTGAAAAATAATAAATATTATGATTAATTATTATTATTAATTAATTAATTTCTCCATATCAACATTCAGTCTATATTTTAATAAATATTTCTATTATTATTCATCTCTATTATATTATTTATTTTAGTTCCAAATTAATTACTATTATTATTTATTAATTTTATCATATCAGCATTCATTTTATATATAGATTAATTTTAATTAATATTTGTATTTTCATTTGCCTTTGCAGAGTGTGATCATGTTGATGTTTCGCGAGGAGAAGAGTCCCGAGGACGAGATAAAGGCCTGGCAATTCTGGCATAGTCGCCAGCATTCCGTGAAGCAGAGAATCTTGGATGCAGGTGCGTTAGCTTTTGGCGAGCTCCAACGGCGTGCCGAACACATATTGTATAGAATTTCCAGAACGTAAATTCTTCGTTTTTATTGAATGTGGCAGGGGGGGAGGGGGAGGGGGGCACGGTGTGGCCAGTCAGGCGGCAGCAACAGTTGGTGCAACCAGAGTTATGACATTGATAAACGCGCATTGCATTCGGGTTTTGTTTGATTGCAGATAATCTTGGCTAGTTCTGGCTGAGAGCTGCCTACGTCTGTCCAACTGCTGCTCCCCCCCTCCCCCCTCTCTCTCTTTCTCTCTCTGGTGCTGCTGCTGCAGTTGCAACCTGTTGCGCGCCTTAGCCCCATCAAACATAACTCATTAGGCACTTGTCACAGACAATTTTTCCTTAATTGTTAATACAAACGATATGTTAGCTCCTCTGCCACAGTTGTTGACTCTATTTCTTTATCTTTTCTATATATATATGTATATGTTTATATATATATATATATATATTTGCTTTTTCTCTCTGCAGATACAAAGAACTCGGTTGGTCTCGTTGGCTGCATTGAGGAAGTGTCGCACAATGCCATTGCCGTCTACTGGAATCCGCTCGAGAGCTCAGCCAAGGTAAGTTCTTAGAGCCCCCGTTTCAGGCCGTAGCGCCCCAGCTGGAGCGTTATAAAGTCTCCATTTTGTTTGTAGTTGAGCGCCGCCTCAATTAAAAAAAATAAAAAATATAAAAAAACTCAAAAAAGCGAGACGGCAAATGACACACACACACACATACATACATACATAGATATATAGATATGTGTATGTAAGAATTAATTTGTGATTTATTTTCAATTGCAACGTACAACGCAAATTATTCAACGCGCGTCGCACAGTCGCCTCAACACACACACACACACACACATACATTTATATATTGCCAGCTCGCTCGCTCGCACACAGCTGCGCTATCTCTCTCTCACTTAGGGGCGCTCTGTTTTGTTGTTTCTTTTTGAAAAGAATAATTTATGCATTTATTTATTTATGACACTTAGTTTTAATCACCTGCCACGACAATTTTCAACGTTTCTCTCTCTATCTCTCTCTCTCTCTCTCTCGTTCTTCTTCGTCTCCACACTCCCTATCTCTTTCCCTATGCTTTTGGCTTTTAGATCTGCGCTCCCAAGCGCATTTAATTTAGCAATTATCAGCAGTTTTAATCCCCGTCGAATATTTGCAATTCTATTGAGCAAATCAAGCGCCAACCGCCGCCAGATTACGTATACGCCCCGTCGCACCACAGCTAAGCCACAATGCGGCTGAATGTTGGCTGAATGCAGATGCATAATAAACAACAAGTGGCGAGCATGTATATAGCTCCACCCATCCAAAAAATGAAATTAACAACATCAAGCAATGGTGGTGCATATGATAGACTAAGAGATACCCTCTAAGCTGTAGCTGTGATCTCTTGGGCATTTTTTGTGTAATTTGCGCTTGAGAAATGGCTTTATATATACGATAAATTATTGCTTATGTATGACCTATGAAGGGGAAGTAAGATAAGTAGAAGTATATGCAGATTAGCAGTAGATGAAGTAGGAGTAGTAGTAGAAAAAGGACAAAATGAAACGTTTAAAAGTATTCTAAAAAGTAGAAATATATTGGATAGGTCCCTGGGGGTCTAAATCTGGTATGCATATAAACTACCTTTAAAGCTGTTTGTTAGTGTTCGATTCAACAAATTTCTACTACTCTTTCCAAGTCCATTATAAACACATCTTCATAAGATAAGATAAACAAATCTTATCTCTGTCATATATGTATATTTATCTAAGTCCATTTAATTTTTTATATACATATAGATATGGATCAAGTGAAGTAAATTGAACGAACTTAATATATGCAGAGTCTTTTTTTGTTTAGCTCCTCTAGCATATATATTTATATGGAGGCCTTGGCTATGGACACATGACAGATAATCCCGGCTCGGCCTAAAATATTTGTGAGCAATTTTTCGTATACATTTCGTGTGTTTTGCACTGATTTTTCCACTTGTTGTCAAGTTCAGTGACTTGTGTCAAATTGGCAAGCAGTTATTAAATTGGCTAACTGGCTCGCTAGCTGTCCGTCCGCCTGTCCAGCTGTCTGTACGGCCTGTCTGTCTCGCTGGCTGGCCAATCGGCTTGGCTCATGTGGCCATAAGTGCATTTTGGTTACATTTCGATATCGCGCTTTTTATTTACAAATTGTTTACTCGCTGAGATGTTAATCCCAAAAAAAAAAAAAAAAAAATTTATATATATATATATATATATGTGGATACGGCCAGACATTGGAGAGAGAGAGTCGTCGCAGCCAAAGGCCGCATAATGTCGATTTCGTTTTATGCCGTTAGGCAGCAGCCTCCTCCTACCCCCCACGCCTCGCTGTATCTGTATCTGCTGCTGCTGCTGTTTGTATCTGTGTATCTGCGGCTGTATGTTTGCGCGTATCTTTTGCCTTTCCCAGCGGCCGCTCCACAAAAAAAAAAAAAAAAAAACACAGCAGAAAAAAAAACTTTCGTACGCACCGACACGCAGGTGCTGCAGCTTGCCGCAGCCTCCCCCTCGCGCTCAGCCCCAGCCTCTCGCATCTGCAACTGCATCTGCAATGCCTGCCAGCCAAGCGTCTGTCTGTGTCTTCGCTTATATGGTACGCGCCCGCTAATTATTCACATTAAATACTGCTCCACGTCGTCCACATCGACAACGACGTTGACGCAGGCAGCGACTGAGACGTTAGCGGCGACTGCGACAGCGACAGCGACAGCGCGTTGCACTTTTACCATTAAGATTGTTTCCTTTGGTATTTTTGCGTTGATGGATTTTCTACTCTTTTTTTTGCTGCTGTTGTTGTTATTGTTGTTGTTGTTGTTGTGTCCGACTGTTTGTCTTTGGCTCGTCGCATCTGGCTTGGACATGCTTAAAATGCCTTTAAACACACACACACACGCACACACACACACACACACAGCGACTTGAAGTCTGTCGCTGAGCAACTGAATCGAAGTCGAAAAAAAAAATGAATTGGATGCGTTGCAAAAGTCAACTTGCCGCTGTCATTCCCCTCTACACTGTCTCTCACTCTCCACTGCTCACTCTCCAGCACCACGCCGCGCTGCACTCTCCACACTTGGCTTGGCTCGGCTCGGCTCGGTTTGGTCCTCTGTGTATTGCCTTGTTATTGTCTCCAGCTTTAGTCTCCATTGGCATTGCCATTGCCATATAACCGACCAAACTGTATGCAGCATACACGCCTTTTGTTGTGCGTGTGCGTATGTGTGTGTGTGTGTGTGTGCATGTGTGCGTATGTGTGTGTGTTGGAATTTTTTAAACTGTCGTGGGCATAAAGAGGACATCGACTTAATAGAGAGAAAACAATTGCTTCTAATAACAGTTGCAGTCGCTGTCGCAGTCGGCGTCGGCGTCGACTGCCCCCAGACGCACTTTTTGTGTCTTTTTCTGTTGTCTTGCTTTAATTTCTTTTTTATTTCCTTTTGTTTCGCAAGCTTTTTTCTCCTTTATTAATTGCCTGCATTGTTTTAATTGTATTGCATTTTATTTTCACAGATCAACATTGCGGTTCAGTGCCTCAGCACGGACTTTAGCAGTCAGAAAGGTGTTAAGGTGAGTTTTTCCTATATGGACATATGAATTACTTATATATAATAATTGGGAAAAGATTAAGTAATTATTAAATATTTTATATATATTTAAGTTGAGCTAGTTTATTTAGTTTATTTGAGAGATCAGAGTGTATAAAAAAAAGTCAGATATCCTGAAAACAGTTTGAATAGCATATAAGAAAATATCTTGTTATATAATAAAAATCTCTTAACTGATCTGGACAACTAGAAAAATAAATTAACAGATCAAGAGATCAATGATATATATATCAAAGCTATCTTTATCTTGCCTAATCTGGGAAATAGTTTAACAGACAATTTTATATATTAGAATAATGCAGATCGAAATGGGTGTATGGTACATATGTTAAAATGAAAGTATGTATGTATACATATTGGCATCTAACAGAAATCCCGCGCTTTAAATTTACTTAATGAACCTATTAATACTTTTTAACAATCAAATATTAATATTGACAATTTTTTTATGAATTTCATTAGTTGCAGTAGCCTAGTATTCATTAGTATTATTATCACTATTATTAACAGATCGCTCAAAATGTCTATCAAAGCATAGAGATTGAAGGCCTAAACATAATAGTTAATTATATAGTAGAAACAATATCTGATATGCATATAGAAACAACAACAAAAATCAAAATCAAAATCATATTTAAACGCAGCCAACTTAATAAGGCAGTTAAGCTAATTAAGTGTTGCCAGACTGTTATTATATTTAAACAATTTCAATTGAGCTCTTCGCATATAAAATACAAAATAAATTTAATGAAGTTATAAATATAGCTTAAAAGCAATTTATTTATATGACTTTTGGTCTATAAGTCTCTCTCGCTCTATCGCTCTCTTAGGCAGCACACATTGTAGGCAAATCGAACAACTTCAGCTTTGACTTGGCGTAATAAACACCTGGACACACAGAGTTGTCTATATGCATGTGCATGTGTGTGTGTGTGTGTTCATCGTACAGGTTGATGAGCCCGAAGGCGTATCCCTGTGCTCCCGTTTGCCTGCGTTACCTGTTACCTGTGTTACACACTTAATCACATAGTCATAATACCCGCCAAGGCGCAGCCGAGGCAAGGCCAACATCATAAAAGATAAAAGCAACAACATGTGCCCAAAGGGGCTGACTCAAGAGGCAGCGTCAAGAGGCGATTGCTACAGTTCTGCCTCTTAACATGTAGACGTAGGAAGTTGTTGTACTTGTAGTTGTTGTTATTGTTATTGCAGTTGTTGTTGTTGTTGTTGTATCAGCAGCATCCTTTGTATGTTGTAATGCGTACCATTAAGTTGATATTTCATTGACAGAAAGACACGAAGAGTTGAGAGTCTGAAGCGAACGCTTCTACGTCGCGTCAACCACAGTGTGGCCTGCCTAAGTGCGCAACTAGGTGTAGTCTTGTAGTATTGCATGATTGCTATATTTTATTCATATAATTGTTTGGTATTTTTTGGTATTTTCTTGGTGTATGTAATGCTTACCATTAAGCTGATATTTCATTTCGCCACAGTGTGGCCTGCCTAAGTGCGCAGCTAGCGCTAGTCTCGTAGTATTGCAAGATTGATTGCTATATTTTAATTATATAATTTGTTGGTATTTTTTCGGTATTTTTTTTGGTATTTTTTGTTTTTTTCTTGGTGTGTGTTGTAACGCGTGCCATTAAGTTGATATTTTATTGGCAGACCACAGTGTTGCGAGACTAGGGTTTGTCTTGATTGATTGGTATATTTTATTGATATTAATTTGGTATTTTTTGTATTTTTGGTATTTTTTGGTATTTTTTGAATTTTTTTTGGTATTTTCTAAATTTCCATTTCCCCCCTTCTGTTACAGGGCCTGCCGCTGCACGTACAAATCGATACGTTCGAGGATCCACGCGATGCGACGGTCTTTCATCGCGGCTACTGTCAGATAAAGGTCTTCTGCGATAAGGTAAGTGATTCTCAATTCGCAAAAGCTACCACATACGAGAGAGCTCACCAGCTACATAATTACACACGCATACACGCACACAGACAAAGGCAGAGGTAGAGGTAGATGCAATGCAGAGACCGAGCGGCAGAGGCAGCTGCCACGTGCAACACAGCAGGTTGAATGAAGCTAACTAAAAGCGCTGCGACGTGCCTCGAGGCAAAGCCCTGCCAATTGTTGTTGTTGTTGTTGTTGTTGCCACTTGTCGCTTGCTGCTTTTATCGAATTGGGGGCAACTGCCTGCTGCATGCTGCATGCTGCATGCGGCCTGGCATTTGGCTTGTCCCTTCATCAACGTAACCAATGTCCGTTTCGAGCTCAGGTGGAAAGCGTAACGCGTACAAAAGTAAATGGACAGGCAACAGGTCCCTCCCTCCATCTCTTCCCCCTCCTCTGACTGCCTCTCCTTGGCACTGATTCGCTGGCTTCATCCTTTCGCCTTTTGTCGTGCCCTTGTTTTGAGCCAACGTTTCGCCTTGGTATGCACCTCTCTTTCTCTCGTTCTCCCTCTCTCTCTCTGTCTCTCTCTCTCTCTCTCTATCTTTGGTTTATATGCGAACCCTTCACTTTTTTTTTGCGCTTGATGTGCTTTATTAATAAATCATTTCGTGGATTTCCAATTTAATTTTCTCATATCATTACACTTCTCCTGCTGCTGCTGCTGCTGCTGCTGCTGCCTCTTCTTCTTCCTCTTCAAGTCCAACCATGAACAGGCCTGACTACCTTTTATTGTACTCCATGCCACATACTATCCATAACCCTTGCAGACACACACACACTCATACTTACATTGGGGGTTTAACCTGGAACTTCGAGGCGTATGTTTATCGATAAATGTATCAATTAAATTTCGCGTACCAGCTTATTTCATATATATACACACACTCTCACACACTCACACACACACTCACACACACACACACATCCATGCTCTGCAACATCTTGTATCTTACACGCATTTCTCTTGACTTTTATTTTTGCTGCTTTGCGATTTCTCTGCATTTGCAATTCGGCTGCAATTGCCGCCTTTTGGCACCTTTTTCCCATTGCAATCAATGCAGAAATATAGGTTTTGCGTGTTTTCTGTCTTTTCACCAAAATGAAGAAGAAGACAACGAAAAATGCACCGAAATCGTTTAAAAAAAAAAAAAACTGCCGCCACATTTCGATAAACAAATTTCACTGCACAGATAAAGATCTTCGAGTTGGCATAAAAAAAAAATAAAAATAAAAAAATAAAAAAAATTGGTATGGAAAGCATTGTAAGGATTGCATGAAGAAATTAAATGCTTGTCTGATTTGCAATCAATTATAAATCACAATAAAGGGATTATGTGCTGTAGGGTCTGGCTTAATCTGGATAATCAATTCCTCAGTTGATAAAGAAATAAGTTTTAATGGAAGAGAAGGAAATCTACTTACTTATGGTTATATTTATTTTAGTTTGGGCTTTCAAATATATTCGATTATATTCAGCTAGAATAGAAGTACATATTTCAGGCACTCAGTCAGATTTTTTATTTAAAAATTGATCAATCATTCAATCAATGCAAACATTTTATTAGTTTAATCATCAGCTAATCAGGGAGTCAGTCAATAATTCTTCTCCTTGAGTTAATCATTCAAGTCAATCAATAGTCCTTTAATCAGTCTGTTATATAGTCTATCAATCATTCTGTTAGTGTCATCAATCAGTCAACCATTGACGCGGATTATAATCAATTCTTTACTATAGATAGACTTTATAATTAAAGCTAAATCTCTTCAAGCTCTTCAAGCTCGTCAATCAGTCCATCTTTTTTACCAATTAGTCAAGCAGTCAATCGCTCAATCAGGACACCGTTTTGCATAGGCTAAGCCACAGCTAAGAGTTGCTTCTTTCGATTAATTTCGCTCCAGTTGCGTCTCACTTGTGGCACACAGAGAAAGTTTATAATACGCATTTATATATATATAAATAGTTATTAAGATCTCCAGCCAAGTAAAATTTATCGATAAACGCAACATAAAGACATGGCATATCACAGAAAAGAAAAACACATAAAAATAAAAAAAAAATTGCGCTTTTGGTAATCGCTGCGACTATCGCAGCTAACCAAATAAGCGGCGCAACTGATGACCATAGCACGACTGCCCCCTCCCCGCTCCGCCCCGCCCACACGCCTCCTGCAGCAGCCACTAGCTCAGTTGGTCGATTAAGAAGAAGCAGCAGCAGGAGGAGGCAGTGGAGCTGTGGCAGAAGCAGAAGAAGAAGAAGAAGAAGAAGGCGTACATTGACCGCATTGGCGGCAATTCGAGCCGCTGTCTGAGCGGCTTTGGCGATATTTTTGCCAAGATAAAATAAAAGTATGTAATAAAATACAGTTATTTACATGCAGGCAAGCACACACACACACGCACACAGGCACATAAATGAATGTATATGAATACATACATATGCACAAATGATGTACAGCGAATGCTCTAGGCAAAAAGAAAAAAATTTGTGTAGCTCTGATAAGCGCAGCAGAAAGCGCAACAGGTGAGAGGCGCGGCGAGGCTTTATAGTGTGTGAGTGAGTGTGTGTGTGTGTGTGTGTGTGTATTGGTGATTGTGTGAGTGTGTTTGTCAGGCAGTCATAAGCACATCTCCACATCCTTGCATAACTTGAGCAGAAAAGCCTATACAAAAAATTGGCTAACAGAGCAGAGCTGCAAAAGATGGACAGTAGCTGAAGAGAGAGAGAGAGAGAAAGAGAGAGAGAGAGAGGGCAGCTGCAGCAGCAGCAAGAAGGAGCAGCAGCAGGCGACGCTCTCTATGCAAGGGGGGAAAAATATCACTTCCTGCGCGCCTCAATTGCCTGATTTTTAATTACAAATGCAAAGTGCAGACGCGGCAGCAGCAGCAGCGGGGGGAACGAGAGCGAGAAGAATCTGTTTACACGCAAACCTGCAATCACAGTGGACGCTAGCTATGAGCGACATGTCTTTGTGCATATATAAATGGGTAGTTGTCTGTGTGTGTGTGTGTGAGTGTGTGTGTGGCAATCAAGCAAAGCCAGCTGCTGCTGCAGTTGTTGTTGCTCTTGTTGCTGCTTCAGCTCAGGTGGGCAAATTGGCAACGGGCTGCAACAACAACAAGCTGCAGGCGCCGCCGCCGCCGAATTATTTATGATGTATGCATATTTATGCAGCATCTCGCTAAGTATTTTATAATAATTTTACAACAAATCGGTTTTGCTGTTGCTGCTGACCCTAACGGTGCCTGGCCGAAAGCGCTTATTGGCCGCCGCGTTGGTGGCACCCAAAAACTTGTTTGTACAGGCAACAGGCAGCAGCAACAGGCAGCAGCAGCAACAGCCAGCAGCAGCTCTTGAACTGTCTGCTGTCTGCCACAAGCTATGGCAAGGCTTATGGCACTTGCTACACGATTTTAATTAATTTATAAAAGAAAATACGAGAAGGAAGACGAACAAAAACAACAGCAACAACGAATGCAATAAACAAAATGTGCGCATCCCATGCATTTTGATTGATTGCTAATTACACACACACACAGACACGCACACACACACATGTAAGCAACACACCTGGCGCTGCTTGCGCAAGTGTCCAAGCGCTTAGCTAAGCCCGCAATTAAAACACACAAAAGTTCACTAATCGGGCCGTATTCGACTGGCAAATACCCTAGACTCAATGAGAGCTAAAAATATTTCAGCAATTTACTGAAAATATTAAGCTTTTAAAAGACATCCCTACATATACATATATCATTTTTATATATTCCTTATATATTTGATATACTCAATATATATCTATATAATATGGTATATCTATATAAGCTCAAAAGCTTTCCCACAAGCAGCGAACTCTTTCTGACAGCTACTCTAATATATATATATATATATATATATCTCTCTCTCTCCACAAAAGGGCGCCGAGCGTAAGACGCGCGATGAGGAACGGCGCGCGGCCAAGCGCAAAATGACAGCAACTGGACGCAAGAAACTGGACGAGCTCTACCATCCGGTCACAGATCGCTCCGAGTTCTATGGCATGCAGGATCTGGCCAAGCCGCCTGTGCTCTTCTCGCCCGCCGAGGACATGGAAAAGGTAAGTGAAGAGCTTATTTAAATAAATAGTATAGATGTAGATATAATGAAACCTTCGCTAATCCCACAGAGCTTCTATGGCCATGAGACTGACTCGCCGGAATTGAAGGGTGCTTCGCCTTTTCTGTTGCACGGCCAGAAGGTGGCCACGCCCACGCTCAAATTCCACAATCATTTTCCGCCCGACATGCAGACGTGAGTAAAAATCGTCATCCTTTATGCAGAGGACGCGCCTCCAGCTGCCAAAGATCAATGAAACTAATCTACTATCTCTCTCTCTCTCTCTCTCTTTCTCTCTCTCGCTCTCTATTTTCTATTTCTAGTGATAAAAAGGATCACATATTGGATCAGAGTATGTTAACCAGCACACCGATGTCCGACTTTGGGCCACCCATGAAACGGGGCCGCATGACGCCGCCAACCTCGGAGCGCGTCATGCTGTACGTGCGGCAGGAGAACGAGGAGGTCTACACGCCGTTGCATGTGGTGCCGCCCACGACGATTGGCCTGCTCAATGCGGTAAGTGTATGAGGGAAGGGGGAGGATGAAAATGAGGAAGAGGAAGCAGCCGGTTGACCCAGCATGTGAACCTATCCAAACGTAATACATATTTCCCCCCAAGAAAATTCACAATGCAGTCTAAAAAACAAACGAAACAAAAAAATTAAGCCCAAAAAAAAACAACTCTAACGTCTGTAATTTTGTTCATTTTGGTCGAATTGGTAAAACGCAAAATATATTGAAAAAAATCAAATATAGAAACTATAAAATTGAAATTGCATATCCAAAATGAAGAAGAATCCTCGTTTATCTAAACATAATATAAACAAAACTGACCAAGTTAATGCATTTATATTCAACTAAAGCATTTCGTTAAAACCCAAACTTCACATATATCAATCGTAATTCATCTTAAATTAAAATCGAATGAATTAAAAAATTTAATTAAATATATATTTATATATATAATCAATTGTAGTTGAAACTAATTGAAAGCGTCGTAACCAAGTCACATAAAATTCATCAAAAATAAAAACTACTCTCTATATATACCACAACTATATATACTCCATGTGTATAGGTGTGTGCGTATGTATACCTATGTGTATATCTATCCATTTATAACTACACTTAACCCACACGATACGGCACAGGCAACAGTTGAAGATTGGCTGAAAACAAAACAAAAAAGATATAGAAAGGGAGATGTAAAAATATATTTAAAAAAAAAAATTTATTTTTGAAAAATTATTGAAGGATTTTTAAAAAGTATTTTAGAGTATTTTATTTTCTTAATATATATACATTTTTATACATATTTTGCTAAATTCGTAAAAAATATAAAAAATACTTTTCAAATATATGGAAAATAAAAAAAATGATATTTTAAAATTATTTTTAAAATAAAAAAAAATATTAAAAAAAAAGGATATATTATCAAAAAATTGTTCAAAGACTTTGTTTAAAAATTTCCATAAAGTTATTTAAAAATGCTGGAAGCTCAAGTGTTTCAATTAATAGTGGATAGTATTTGGAATGATATTTAAAAACTCAAAAAATTCCCATAAAAATATTTAAAAACTTACCTTAAAACTTTTCAAACATTACAAAAAATCCATGAATTAATAATAATAATAAAATAATAAAGGTCACTCAAAATATATATAAATAAAAGAATTTTTAAATATTATTAAATATATTCAAAAATGTCTTTAAATGAATTATTTTAAAAATATTATATATAAAAAATATTTCAAATTAAAAAAAATCCTTTAAAAATGTTTTTTTCAAAATATTTATCAAAGTTATTATAGTTTTCCAAATGAACAACATTACAAACACACGAAGAGTTAAAAGAGAAATATTTTAGTTTGCTTAGCTAGAACTTTGATTGAACTTGATCTCTCGTTAGCGGCTACTCGTTATTCGTTACTCTCGCGCCAAACACAACAGACAAAACATCATATTTCTCTCGTTTCTCAATTGCAGATTGAAAACAAATACAAAATCTCAACAACGAGCATAAATAACATATATCGCACAAATAAGAAAGGGTAAGTAAGGCAGCTGTGTCCAAGTGCTACACACACACACAAAAACACACACACAACAGACTACACACACACACACGACACACACTCAAGAACTTGCACCTGAATATCATGGAAAACTAACAAAAAGGCAAAACACGTTCATCTTTTGGTAGTTTAGTCTAAAACCAACTAACGCTTAACTTGGTTAAAGAAACTGACACGACTCGACTTGACGCGACTATCTCTCTCTATATACATATATGAATCAATTGTCATATGAAACAATTGTCTTACATGTATTCTTTTGCCTTGCAGGATTACGGCGAAAATTGATGATGATATGATATCCTTCTACTGCAACGAGGACATCTTCTTGCTGGAAGTACAACAGATCGAGGATGATCTGTACGATGTGACGCTCACAGAGCTGCCCAATCAGTAGTAAAAGAACTCAAAACCCAGAGAGAGCGAGAGAGGGAAAAAAGGGAAACACACACAAATATGTGGACACAATTTTGCTAAATGAAAACAAAAACAAAAATATATAAAAGTTGTTTCAATAAGCCATCTTTTCGAAATAAGCCCTAAGTTAGGCCTAAGCGCTCGATACGCATATTATGAATCTATGAAATATATTGAAAAATATTATAATATATATAAAACCTTTTATATATACATATATTTAGTTGTAATTGTTTTTGTTTAGCTACTTTAGTAACAATGAGATTACATCAATTTCTAAAAACAAATTTTAATTCTCGCTATGTTTATATATAAAAGAAGTAAAAGAACAACATGAATTAAGTGAAATTATCATCTTTATGTATTTATAACAAAATATATGTATACACATGCATATATATACATATATATATATATCTTTAACTAAGTTAAGTCTAACAAGAATAGAGTGCAAAATGTCTGTCCAGTTAAACGTTTAAGTTCTGCTAGGCCTTAGGTCCAAAAAAAAAAAAAAACAAATTCCCTATAAAAAGCCCTCTGAAATTTATGCAAAACCATTTGAAATTTTACTCTAAATAAACTTTATTTAAGCATTTTTTTAATTGTTGTGAAATTCTTTAAAAATCGTTTGTTCTTTGTCTCTTCATACCTTGTTATTTGTGGCTATAAATGTTGAAAAATATATACATATAATTAATAACAAATAAACATAAACAAAACAAAATAATTAGGATCTCTGCTAAACACAAACAAAATAAAAAAAAAAAAAAAAAAACAAAAACCGATTTTGCTTCCAATGCCTAGAACAAAACGTAAAAAAATAAAATGAAATTGTCAAAAAAAAAAAAAACTGTTTAAAGTAATTAACTTAAAGTATATACATAAACAAGCATATATATATATATAACTTCAAATATATATGTGTAAGAAGCTCTGCAATAAAACATGTTGATAAAAATCTTAATTAAGTCCAAGTTAAGGCAATGAAAACAACAACAAAAAATCTAAAAAAGAAAAAAAATGAAATGAACTAAGAAATTGTGTGCATTTGTTGTAAAACAAGAAAAATCTACAAAAAACAAAATCAACAAAAATAAAAGTTGATTCAAAACAAAAAATTAAACATGAGAAATACTGAAAAAAAAAAAAAACATAATATTTAAAAATATATATATACAATTTTATATATATACATATAACATATTTCGTAATAGATATAATTTAAATTTTATACAGCATATATATGACATTGTGCGTTTACAATCTTTGTTTGCCATAATTAACAGCTTACTTAATTTAATTAACAATTGTTTTTCTATATATATATACATAAACATTTTATAAACAATTAGTAAAAAGCAAAAATCTTTCCCTTTTTTGCTTTTTAAACAATTTGAATACTCCGCATCAAAACTTGCTCAATATTATATTATAATTTTGTTTATTATTTTTAACAATATACACACACACACACAGACATACAGACAAACACAATCACACACAATACACACACAGACACATAATCTCTTCTTCTTATTCTCGAATATAAGACAAAGTAAATTTTGTATTTCAATTAATCATCTTTCGGTGTTGTACATCACAATTTGTTTTTAGTTGTAGTCACTAAACAAAAAAAAAAATGCTGTAAACGTAATAATTCAAGAGATAATATAAATATATACATATACGATATTACGATAATAATAATAATGATAATCTAAATGAAGAAGAAATCTACAAATGATTGAGATGAGAATCGAATCGAATATCTTGCCGACATGTTATAAATCTATATGTTTAGTTTTAATTTATAAGTTTTATGCTCTTTCTACAAACACACACATATATAAAATATATATACACATATATATATTTGAAAAGCCAATAATTTATTTTTTGTTACCTGTTGGAAACGATTCCGCGAAAAATAGTAAAAGTTTAACTGAAACTGAGCGATTTGTATGTATGTATGTGAGCTTGAGAAAAATTTTCAAAACAAAAAACAAAAAAAAAAGAAGATGAACAAATTGTACAATATTATCATAATGAATACACAAAATTTAAATAAAGAACAAAAAGTAAACGAACTGTGTACTTATTCATAGAGAGTTGAATAATATTTGCATTAATTTATTAAATCATTTTATTCTATATTTATCCTTTACTGTCAGTAATTATAAACAATATATTTTGCTAACCTTATCTATTTTACATAAGCGGAAATTCCAATTGGACAAGGTTTATGGCAGCGCAGAGGCTGTTATGTTAACATAACAGCATGTTAACAGCGTGTGTGCGAGCATTTGCACTGCTTGAACTCTCCGTTGTGCATTGCTGCTGCTTGTATGGTTGTTCCTGTATGAGTGAGTCCATTGCATTGGACGGAGAAAGCATGTCGCTCTGCCCGTTCGCCCACATGTGATATGCAAAAGAGCGCCCACTCAATGCCGGCAATCCAACGGTTGACGAGAGTGCGTTTTCTACTCTAGCAAACATGTTGCTATGGCAACTAGCTGCAACAGTTGTGCGCCTAAATCTCTCATTCTTTCGCTCTCTCCACTTCTCTTTCTCGTGTTGGGACTGTGCGTCGGCGTCGGCGTCGGCGTCGTCTGCTTCGCTTTCGGCAGTTCAGTATTAGTTTTTCTTTTCGACTGTGGTGTTGCTGCATCGCCGCTCGCCCTCCAGACTTTTACAGCAATTGGCAACTCGCACAGATCACGTAAAAATCTGCTCTTACAGGCAAATGCCAGGTACAATGGGACTGAAATGTGCATGTGCGTGAGCGTGAGCGAGAGCGTGTGTATGTGAAGATAAGATCTGGGATGATCTCTAATGTCAGCGCACGGCTGATGACAAAACTGATTACCAGCCGCAAATAAAACGGCTCGCTGTGAAAGACATAACAATAGATGCCAAGTGCGCGCTCGAGAAGCCATTCACCATTTTTGTTGTTCACTACTCAGTTTAGTTCGTTGCTGCGTGTGCATCGCGCCGGTTGTGATTTACAGTTAATTGTGTGTCGCTCGCTATTATCCTCTCCCTCTAACCAATTGCATTGGCCTGCCGAGTTATGGAATTCGGATTGGCTTAGAAAGCGACAAACTGTTGCCGAAGCCGTTACACAAAAGTCAGTTATCGATTGATTTCTTAGCGGTTTCTTACACACACACACACACGCGCACATAAGCAAATGTCAGCTAATTGACATATTTTCGTTTTGTTTATGTGCATGTGCTCAACGTGAGAGCAACAGCATTGGCCGCATTTCTAGCCCGCTGCGACAGGTAAGAAATTTTACCTCTGTTACAAATATTTAAATAATGAAAGACAGTTGCACTTGTTTTTTTTTTCACTCTTTTTTTTTTTTTGGTAAATATTACTTTAAATTTGTATACCCCGTAACGTGTGTAAACATAAAGTTGTGCTTATGTGTGTGACAATTAAATTAGTTCTGTTTTAGATCAAGTTGATTTACGAGGCGTATGATAAATGGAGCATGTGATAAAGCCAAATAAATTTGCTTGGCAAAGATAAGAGCTGAGGAATGCAATTCTACAAGCTGAATCAAAGAATATGAAGTAGATTAGCGAGATTATCAAAAGTAAGCAAAAGAAAAGCCAGACATATACCTTGATATAGATTAAAGAAAGCGGGTTTATAAGGGGAAAAAGTTGGAATGTGGAGAAAATTAATAAATGCCTTAGATAAACACTATATAATCATGCAATTCGTATTATTTTATATAAGATATTTAATTTTGTTATACAAGACACTTTAATTTAACTCCATTGCTAATTTATATTATTATTAAACAATATGTGGGAATACGTAAGAAATGAAAAGATTCTTTAGTTTAACCTTATTTGATTATAGAAATCTATTATTAAATAAATTTTTTGATGAAAGATATTTGAATGTTATTCCATTGCTATGCTCAAATTGAGTCTACAGTCGATATACCCTAAATGTATCACTCCCCTCGTGAATGTCAACTATTCATAGGATATCTTAAAGTGCAACGCCTTTCACTAGATTCCATTTACTTTGTGGTGCATGGCGCGCATGTTTACAGCTTCCATTCGAAAGCAATTAAATCCAATTGAAAGGCACTCGGGATCGACTGCAAAGAGATCGAATTTGACATTCTCCCCATTTCCTGATCGACGCTGCCATGCGAAAGGCACGCGAGCCACGCGAGACCCGATGCCACCTATGGCTGATGCTAATTCATTTGTTTGTTATTATTCTACTCGCATTCGACTAATAACAGTTATTTTTCGCAAGTGTCCATCTCGTGTGTGACATAATCTACATCTCCATGTATAAATGAATATATTTTTTGAGATCTTTCATAACCGTGTGAATAAAAAATAATGCTTGTAATTCACTTCTTTATTTATTTAACAATTAGTTAGCGCATTAATTGTTAATTCCTGAGCCTCGGCTATGACTGTGCATGATGCATGCGCAGTTAGCAACTGCTTATCCATTATCAACATTTATAATTACGTTCCGAGTATCCAATTTTCTCATTTTCTAATATATATGTATGTATGTATGCTCTGCGCTATGCCAAGGAAACAAAGTTCAAAACATGCTAGCGATGCATACTCGAATCGAATCGAATCGAATCAACTCGACTCGATATGGAATTTCCCCTAGCCGGGCGACCTTTACCGCCTGTTTTTTTTTTTTTTTTTTTTTTTTGCTGTTCCTAATACTTGTTTGCCTAGCGTGAAAAGGGTATATTGCATTTTCTTATAGTGTTTACTTTACAAAATTTCTATTAGAGGAGCTCATTTAGGTTTTCCTATATAAAGCATCTGAAAGTGATCTATAGCTTAAGTGGTTTGTATTGACATAATACTTGCTTCTATGTTGCAAATGAGCATATTGGATTTTATATACTGATATTCAGATGTTTAATTAATAAAATTCATATTAAATGAAAATTCATTTACTTTTTAAATTTGTATGCCTAGTAAATACTGCTCAAAGAATACTATATGAATTATTAAAATATATAATAGGTATTATAAAGATTTATGTATATATTCTCATTCTTTATATTCACCTATAAATCATCCATACTAAACTATTATTAGTGTGCATCCACGTTAGGCAGTCTATACTGTGCACTCTATAAATCAAATGTCTAAAGCTGTTATTTCCACTTTGAACAAGCATCGAGAAGTCGCTTGTAACTGTGACCCCTAGTCGAGCCACAATTTCCCTAACTGTAATCAGAAACATGTTCACGGACGTGGTTCGGCTTAAGTTTGACGAAATTATAAATAGTTGAGCTAATTAAAATACCAAATTAATGTTATGCCAATTTGTTAAGTTAACTATAAAACAGTTTTTTTTTTTTTTTTTTTTTTGCCAATGATTTGCTTCGCTTAGAACCAAAAGTGCGTTTAGTAAAAAAAAATAATACAAAAAATTGTTTAAATTAATTTTTATCTAAAATTAAAACCTGATCTGGTTTTGCAGCTGCAGAAGATCATGAATCATCTACAAATTTATGGCTCTCTCACTTTGTTTAATATTTTTCGGGCAGACGATATCAAATTTTTGTTTTGTTGACTTTTGCTTTTATCTTGGCACACATTTCCAAATGGGTTCGAGTAATCAATATTGCGGCCGTGTTACGGAGAGTCGCTTGCAACATCTCTTTATGAACTGTTAACAAGGCCTTTAAACAACATATTTTTGTATTGTTGCTGATGATGTTGTTTACATCATGGTTGTTGTTCAATGATCATCATATCAATTTGATCTGAAAAAACATTTTTCATACGCTAACGACCTGGCTTATTTGTGCATAGAAGTCGCTACGGGGTTTCAAGTTTATCGTAAATTGAACTTAGGGCCTAAAGCTGTGCACTTAACAGAGTTAATTTGCCATTGTTTGAACAACTGTTTTAACCTTCCCATTTGAAAAGAGTCTGAGTTTCTGAAAGGAAACTTTGCTTTTCTTTCCTCTGTATGCATCAAATGTAATGAATTTTTGACTCATTTCTATCCCATTCTATTCTATTTCTCTTCGATTTCTAATCAAAGACCATTGTGTAAATCACTTAGCAATTTTCCATTCATTTAAGTCTACCGAATTTAGCCAAATTTACAATGATTATCAAGTTAGAGTATTTTATCTTCGTCATGCTGAAGTTAATTGCTTAAGTTTAGACAAATTGCATTTGATGTTGTTTTGAATTTCAAGCTCGCCTCTCTTACCATTAAAGCTTGTCATGCGATCAGCTGCGCGTCGAAAGCTTTCGCTGAGCTTTCCTCTGCTGCACTCGAGCACCGTGGAACGTGTTTCGTTTCTTAACGTCAGTTCACATTTTGCAATGAGTTTTATTTTAAGATTGTTTAACCATATTTACATGGCAAATCAGATTTCTTGGCAATTAAAAAGTCACAAAGTAAATTGCACAAAATTGCTTTATCTTAATGTGACATTACAAATTTAGATATGACTAATTACAAAATAAAGTCAGTAACTGAAATAAAAAGTAATATAAATGCATATTATACAATGTGTATAATAATAAAAAAAACTAACTGATAAAATCTAGGCCTTCTCTGTACTAATTGGCCTTATTTACATTTCCAATAAGAACAAAAAAATCCCCTCAGCGACCACGCCTGTACGCTACCAGCGTAGATCGGCAAATTACTGTGGGGAGAGTGGGGGAAGGTCTGGCAACAACGAAGCAACGAAGCAGGCGCGAAGTTAACCGCAAAACGTTGTGCTTTTAATCAAAAGTTTTTATTGATTGGCGTCGCGCTTGAGGAAATTGTTAAATTCGCGCAAAATAATTTCCAAGCGAGTCTAGAGCGCGAGTGTGTAGAGAGCAAGTGCACGCGCGCGCGCCTCTACTCACACTCACACGCACTCTCGCACTCGCACACTCTGCCAATCACACAATCTCTACAAAACTCTACACTCTACAGGCAGAGACGGCACGAGCTTTGGCAGCGGCTTCGCGTGCCTTTTGTCCGCTTTTTGTGTTTTCAGTTTTCAGTTTTAAAGATCATTTCGTAGCGTTCGGTTCAGATTTTTTGGGAGCGCACGCAAAGAGCGTTTGTGCGAGAGAGAGAGAGAGAGCGACAGTTAGTATAGGTAGAAGTCGATAATTATTTTGTGTACTTAAAAAGCATAAATAAACAACAAATTCAAACTGAGTCAACTCTTGCCAAAACTTGCCAAAAACAAAAAAAGAAAAAACCCCAATTTTCAATTCCGTCTTCGCATATCAATGTCAAGTGCTGTCCGCTCCATCGAATCCGGGGTCACAAGTGCTCAAGCGGCTGATTAACGTTCAATAGAAGCGAGCGCAAAAACAAAAAACAACAAAACAATAAGAAACTGCAAAGCAACAAAAAAATAAAGACTAAAAAAGGTGGAACGGCGCGAAACACGTTTCGTGTTTGTGTTTTCCTAGCTGAACAAAAATAACAAAACAAAATAACTAAAATTATTGTCATTGTTGCCAGAAGAAAAACAAAAACATTAACAAACTGAATAGTAAATATAAATAAACTAAATTAATTAAATAAATCAGCTGCTTGGCCAGAGTATAGAGCAAGAAAGCAATACACAGAAGCACTTGCCCTGACCAGAGAGGGAGAGAGAGAGAGAGAGAGTGAAAGACAGAGACAAAGCGAGACGAGTCGAGGTTAAAGTTACCAAAGCGAACCTGATCTCAAAACTGAAGCAGCAGCAGCTCGGGAAGCGTAACGGCTCTGGCAGCTCTTACCAAATATGAGCATATGCTGTTAGCCTGGCTTTAGCTAACCACGTAATTCAAGCAGCCGTAACTTACCAGCAACAACAACAATAACAACAACAACAACAACATTAATTGAGAATGGAGCGCTCGCAAAGCTGCAGCAATTTCGAAGGCGCGCCGGAGGCGTTGCACGCCTCTGTTGGTGGTGTCAACAAGCCGCTTACCGGCAGCAGCGACAACTTGCCCCACCGACTTGCCAGCTGCAACAGCAGCAGCAACATGTTGCCCAGTTTTCCGCCCAGCAAACCGTTGCGCAAACGCAAACGTCTGCAACGCCAACAATCCGTTATTGTGGATGATGCGGATGACGATGATCATCATGATATGCTGAGCTGTGAGTGCGCCTATGCCGCCGATCTGGAGGAGAATGACGATGGGGATCTGGAGATGTCGGAGCCATTGGTCATGCCACGCCTGCCCCAGCGCCACATCTTGGCCAACAGCGGACGACAGCTGCGGCACGAGGAATCCTTCGACTCGAACAGCACGGCGCCCGAGATGAGTCCGCAGGCGGTGCGGCAGCATCGCTTCAGCAGTTTGCTGCTGCGCGACAGCTCCGTCTCGATGCAGTCGGACTCGAGTCGCTATTCGAGCGTGGACAGTCTGCTGGAGTCGCGCAAACCCGATCCGGAGGCAATACTCATCAATCTGGGCTTCGGGCCCGTCGGCACCGAGGACATGCTCTCGCGCATACCCAAGCGCTTCCTCAAGCCCTCCAAAGTGCCGGGCATCGACACGGAGGCATTCGTCAAGCGTCTGCAGCTGGCCAGTTCGTTGGCCGACTCCAGTGCCCTGGGCTATCGCGGGCTCACCTCCAGCTCGGATCAGCCGCCCTCGTCGATTGTGGCCAAGATTATGGAACGCTTCGAGGTCAACAATCAGCGCAAACAGTCCATGGGCAACATTGAGCACACGATCAGATGAGACGCCGATCCGATCCCAACACTATCTATCTAACTATCCATATGCATACTATAAATCCAATGAATATCTGAAATTGTGCAACCTAGGCTAAGTTACTACGTTAGCTATATATAGCAGCCAGCGAGCGGGGTTTTACCCGACACGCGGCAACTTTTCTATTATTACTGTACATTATTATTATTATATATATATATATATTATCTTTATTGTCATGTGATGTTTATCTTGTCCATTAGCTTTTAGTTGTGCCGCGTACTTAGCTTTGTCTATTGTTTTACCTACCGATTCGGGTTTATTTTTACAATTCGTTTTACACTTATTATAATCTCAGTTTTAAGCATCAAACTAAAATAATAATACAAATTGCCTTTGATATATTTGAATGAGTTTTATTTTCGAGCTGAACTTTAACTGCGTATTGTTATTGTTATTGTTATTGAATCGTAAACTTTTACAATTTAGTCGTCAATTATCTATATCTCTCTCTCTCTCTGTCTCTCTCTTTCTCTCTCTCTTTCTTTCTCTCTCTCTCTCTCTCTCTTTCTCTCTCTCTCTCTCTTTCGCTTATCATTTGTAATAAGGTTTCCATTCATAGGTTCTTCTTTCTTTGTGTCGCATTCTGAAAGATTTGCAAAATATGGAATATAACAATTATCAATCAAATATTTTATTCTTTGTCTTAAACCTAGCTTTAGTCTTCCTGTTCTTGAAACTTCCTTTGTGTCTGAAAGATTTTTCTGAATCTTTATGCTTTCACTTTCAAGCAATATTTTTAGAATTCTTCTCAGACTTACTCAGTCTTCGTTTTGTCATCTCTTTGGCTTTCTTTATGCCACTGCTTCTTACCATTCACTTTGCAAATTGTTCTTAAAGGTTTGCTTACTCTTACTCATATTTTTGTAGCTTTCTCCTTTGTGTTTTATTCTGAATGCGAATCACTAATACTCAGCCTTCGTCTTAGTCTTGTCTATGGCTTCCTCTTTGCTGCTGCTAGAGGCCATTCACTTTGTGTTCAATTCTTAAATGTTTGACGAGTCTGAAACTATTTAGGCATATTTAGATTTTGATCTGGAAATATTTAAGTTTTCTTGTGGATAAATTAACATTTTCATTTTTCACTTAATCTCCTCGAAGGCAGCAATTCAGGGAAATAAATTCCTAAACGTTTTCAGGCCGTGCCTATAGCATATTTTCGTTTCAACACCTTTAGGTGTTAAAGTTTTCGTAAATTCTATTCAATGTGAATCAATTTAGCGTGTTTTTGCTTAAGCGTTGCATTCTTAAACGTTTCTCACACAAGCGTGCATTCGACTTTCTCTCCTGCCTCTTTCTGCGGCCCTTTTCATTATCTGGGGTGTGACAAATTTCTATTTCGAGTCAAGTTGCATTCTTCAACGTTTCCACAATTCTGCCGCAGGTTAATAGGCGAATTTTAACAATATTTTAGAATAAACATTACTTTTCGTTTAGCTAGAGAAATCTGTTTAAATATCTAATATATCTGTTTAAATATTTATCGTCAACTTTCTACAGCGTGTCAAGAAACTGTTGTATAGCTTGAGAAGTAAATAGACTTCTATTGACAACTGTTGCCGCTTCAAACACCTATATATATATATAAATATTTCTATATTTATCTTTATCATTATCTCAGGCTTAAGTTTTTCATTTTTATTGATTGGTTTGCATAAGAAGTAACTGTTATATTTAGAAACCGACGTCATAAGTCAGACAAAAAGTCAACAGAGCTCATAAAAGCGGCAAACAAAATTCAATTGCGATAGAAGTCAAAGGAAAATAACAGCACAAAAAAAAGGGCAAGAGTGGAGATGCTTGACTAGAAGATACTCAGTACATGGAAAGCAGAAAGAGATGGGAAGAGAGAGACAAAGGAAGTGAAGGAATATAAGAGAGGAAGAGAGAGAGAGAGAGAATAGTGTGTAATAGAAAGAGTGAAACAGAGATATACAATGAAATAAGCTAGCAAATCCAAGCTATCTCTGTCTCTCTCTCCCTCTCTCATTTCTTCAGTGTAAATCACTGGTCAAGCTTATCATACTCTATTGTGGTGATTGCTACAGGGTATGTAAATAAACATGCACATTTTGCAAACAAATATTCAAAGACCTCCAACTGCTGTTGCGCGGCATATCTAATTGTGGTTGTTGTTTCTTTGTTGTTATTGTTGTTGTTGCTGTGTTATCGAAGGTACATTTTCTGAGTAGTTAAAAACGAAATACATCTATTATAAGCCCGTGACATACATATAGATATTACACACATTAATACTTATATACATATTTATTCAAGTCAAATATCAGATAAATCCCATCTGAGCAAATTGTGAAGCGTTTCCATTTGAGGGCTAACAATTTGTTGTACTTGAGTTAAATTTATTGATTTCAATTGTTTTTAATTGTTGTCAGAGATGAAACAAAAGCAGTACAAAATACACAGAAGATGAAGAAGAAGAGGCAGATGAGGAAAAATATTGCCGGCTCAATCTTTATCACGATCGAAGCGAATGCAATGGGTATTAGACTCTTTGAACTCTCAATAAATTAATTTTTTGTTTTTCACAAACAGAACGTCATAACGAGCCGCTGTTGGTAAATAGATAAGAATATGAATAATATATTTACGCATATATAGAAATGAATATAAATTTATGTATGTATTTATTCACATAGATTTCGTAACACCTTGAAATTTGCGTTTTATTTAAGCAGTAAACTGAAGAAACAAGTCAGCCGACACTTTCGTTGGGTATGCAAGACTAACAGATACCCAGATCACAGGGTAGAGCATTTATGAAAGATATATATCTTTTACCAAGAGATAGATTCAGATAATCATACAAATCAGATAACCAAAGTATCTGCTGTTTACATACATTGGCACAACAACAATATACCCCAAATATGAACATCTATAAAACAGGGTAAACCGAACTGAGCATAGATATTGGTTATGAAGTAAAGACGTCACATGACACGAGTTCGATATTAGAATCTGTATCTATCTGTATATATGTATATGTATATGTATATGTATCTGTATCTGTATCTGTATCTGCATCTATATCTATATCTATATCTGTATCTGTATCTGTATCTGTATCTGTATCTGTATCTGTATCTGTATCTGTATCTGTATCTGTATCTGTATCTGTATCTGTATCTGTATCTGTATCTATATCTATATCTGTATCTGTATCTGTATCTGTATCTGTATCTGTATCTGTATCTGTATCTGTATCTGTATCTGTATCTGTATCTTTATCTGTATCTGTATCTGTATCTGTATCTGTATCTGTATCTGTATCTGTATCTGTATCTGTATCTGTATCTGTATCTGTATCTGTTTCTGTAACTGTAACTGTATCCGTATCTGCATCTGTCACTATATAACTGTATCTAGTCAAGAAATGAAATGCACAAAGCACAAAGCAGAGAACGAGATAAAAGCTACAAAGATCTGCATAAAGCACTTTGCATATGTATGCATAAATAAAGTTTATTTGTTTGTTGTATTTTTTGGCTGCCTGTTGCGGCTGTGTTGCAAGCAGCAGAAGAAGCGAGCAAGTTCAAGGCGCGAGAAGGTGTTGCATAGATACACCGACAACAACAACAGCCTTAAGATACAAAGATACTTCTGTATGCGCATATGCAGATACTTTTAGCTTTTAGCCAGTGGCTGCGTTGACGAAAATAAAACGCCCACGCCGGAAGCGAGCGAAAATGCAAACAAAAAATGAGAAAACGTGTGAAAAACAATTAGCAAACAGCCCCAACAATAAAAATAAAAATAAAAATAAAAACAAAAACAATTGTAAATTTCAAATTGAAAAATGTGTCACAGCCAGTGAATATTTGCGTTGATTTTGTTATTTCTTTTTCTGTTTCTATATAATGAGCGTGGGCGTTTTGATTAATGGGCCTACTGGCACACTATGTGCATTCCAATTGCTCTTAGGCTAACATTGACATTAAAACACATTTAATTAAATACAAAATAAGAAATATGAAACAAAACTAAATCAAATAAAATTATTCGCGCGCGCTTTTTTAACGGCACTGCCAGCCCGAAATTTGCAATGGCTAACAGCATGCTGTTAGCGCTGCTACATTCCGTTAACAGCTCATGCGAGCTAACAGCACAAACGATTATCGATAACAGCGGCCACAGCGTCAGTCTGTTTTGGTTGTTCCGCACTTGCACACATATTCGCCTAATATGTAGAAAATCAAAAACTATAGAAAATATGTAAATTTTAAACAAGTGCAACTGTTTTTAATTTTAATTTGTACTTAAGCACACCGTACTTACCGTTCCTTTATTTGTTCTTTTTTTGTCGCGCTCTACGTGACCGCTGTTCTTTGTGCGTCTCTCTCTCTATATTACCTATTTTTGGGTTGTTTTTTTTTTTTTTTTTTTTTTGTTTTACTGTTGCTTTGTGCATGGGAACTCGTGCAAAATGGATTTCGTGCAGTTCTGGAAAATCGTTGCAGCCCTTTGGAGGCCCGATTGCTCAAGATGTCCGTGTGGACGACAACTAGCTCAGCTGGCAATGGCCTAGAATCTTCCAATAGCCAAACTCGCACGCCGCAAACGGCCAAATCTCAGCTCAGTGCCGCTCAACGCAACAGCTCAAATCCGACCAACGCTGGCCAGTTAATTGGCAGTGATATTACCACGTCAGCCAACGCTCAGCAGCATCATTTCCAGCACGTAGTCGCCGCAGCAGTTGCAGCTGCCACAACCATAGCTACCGGCCAGCACCAACAACAACAACAGCAACATCATCATCATCAACAGCAGCTGCTGCAGTTGCAGCCCTTTCATAATCACAGTTTATACAATCAATTTGGCAGCAGCTCCGGCAGTAGCAGCAATAACGGCAACAACAACAACAACAACACCTTCAACTTCAAACGTTCCAGCATTAGCAACTCGGCTCCACAGCTACCCGCTTCCAGTCAAAATTTCACAAAGGTAAGTCTCCATAAGAAATCAAATTCTACATTCCTCCTACATGCAAAACAAAAAAGACAATAAAAAAAACTCCAACAGTCGCCTAAGCTCTCCCGCGCGTTGTCACTCACTCTCTCTCTGCCTTTGTCACCCCTCTCTCATACCTTTTCCACGCCAATCGTGCGAAATCACCGAAATGAGCAATATGGAAACGAACAATTGGACAAGCGGTTCACGGTTAATTCTCCAGTCTAAACTCTAAACTTGGCCTCCGATTTCAAGTCGAACCAGATCCCACATGCTAGCGCATGTGCGTTTGCGCGCGTGTGTGTGTTTGTGTGTGTGTGTGTGTATATATGTATGTATGTATATTTGCCTGTGTTTACGTACCGTAATATTGCACGCGGTTTATTATTAATTTTCCATACACTTAGAGCTTGCTTGTGACGTCACAGAGCTTAGTTTGTTATTCTTGATGCTCATTAGACAGGGGTATTAGGCGGGTATATTTGTGAGCGTTGTAAGCAAAGAGATACGGGAGAGGTTTTGATAATATATATTTATGTATGTACATACTAATTATATAATTATTTCCTAATTGCATTCAACTCAAAATTAAGTTCAGCTTTGATATATTTTCTCCAGTGTATTGTGCAATTAATACAGCTCGCTCTGTAACTTGTTTGCTCTCTTCCCATTGACTCTTCCTCAATTCAATTCACACTGCGTCTTAGCTTTGCTGTTGTTTTATCAACTGTTTGCGTACGATAAATAATTAAAATTAGGCACTTTACAGGGCCCACGCCTATACACACATACTTACATATACATAAATGTGTGTGTGTGTCTTTATAATCAGCATATACATATAAAATCTTTTATATTCATGTTATTTTTTCTATATTAATTAGTTTCAAATGGCAACAAAAAATGTGGTGTGGCTGTTTTTATATAGCGATAAGGTCTGTTATATTCCACTTCATGTTACCCGGCTTTGCATGGCACGGAAAAAATATGCATACAATAGAATTTCAATATCACAAAACGGCAAAAAACGTAATAGTAGTATTATAAAATCGTTCTGATTTTGCCTGTTCAATGGATTTATTCAACCTTTTGCTCTAATTTGTATGCATAATAATTGTGCGACGCCTTTGAAAATTGCATAAATTTCAATTTTGCATTGAATTGGGAATATATTTAACTAAGAATATTATTCACTTATATGCCGATTTTATGGGTCAAGTTGGTTAAAGTAGGACGAAAAGTAGATATATATATTTGCTTCCATTAGAAATTCTGATGTAATTTTTTTTGTTTAGAATTTAAAATATATTTTATTTTAACTTTACTAAGCACGAGGAATTTATTTAAATATAATACAAATATAAACTCAAGGCGACATTTCTAAAAAATGTTTGTTGAATAATTATATTTATTCACATTGATCAAGGAATTACTGTAGCTGATTACATTTTTGATATTTATTGATATTTGCTTCGATTGGAAACTCGAAACGCTGTTTATGCCATCACATTTTACATGAACTGATAACAAGCACAGTCACTTAATTGTTGTTACCATTTAATCGTTCGAATTGAGAAAAACATCAATCATCTGATGCTACGAATTCTTTGTCAACGATCAATAACACTTGTGTTATTATTGATTGATTATACAATAATCCACAGAAAAAGAGCATTTGAGCAATATATTTATAGTATTTTAAGTATGTTAATGCAAATTCCATACAAATTCCAAAATGTTCCAGCGGCACCGCTGCCGGCATCGAATTCCACGGGGAAATATTCTCTTTAAGCTGTGCAGCTGCGTCAATAGGAAGCTAAATTGTTCCATCGACTGCAAAAAAAGGTTATTTTACTCTCCTCTCATTGCAGTTCTTTCGCCGAATGTGCTCATAAAACTTCATCAGCTGGAAGCTTAAGAGCGAATCGGTTAGCTCGCTCTTTTTATTTTGATCCCCAAATGACATTTTGCCTGTCCTACGTGATTTCAATCAAATAATTCCACTGGCTGCAGGTCTTGGCCTCTCTATCTCTAAAACATCTGCTGCTGCCGCAGCTCCTCTGCTCGCTTTATTGTTGGGTCAGCTGAGCGGGCAGTGTCGAATTTATAATTGAATCAGTGGCCAATCAATTGCCCAATCACTGCACAGTTCAGGGGCAAGTCGCGTCGCCCAAATGCTCATCATTTGATTTCCCCATTGATGATCAACGGATGCGCTACAGGTAGGAAAAATATGCTGATTGATTGCCAACAGTGGGAGAGAGCGAGAGGGCGAGTGAGTGAGTGAGCGATTGGGGAGCACCTTTATCACGTGCTGTCTCTTTTGCACCTTTCATTGCTATCTATTTGTTTTGCTTTGCTTGTTTTTCGTTTTCTTTACACACACACCCACACTCATATACACTTATACAGGCACCCGCTGTCAACGTTTTAGTTTCCTTCTGTTCGGTTTTAATTCAAATGGCATTTGTAATTCGATTGTCTATTGTTATATTGTTGTTGTTTTTGTCGTCGCAGGCCGCAACCGCCGTCGTCGTCGTCGTCGTCACCGTAGCCGTCGCTGTCGCCGCCGAATTGATTGTCGAATTTGAATATCACGCGCGCCGCCGTCGACAGTTCAGCAACCAACGCCAACGTCGCCGCATCAACGGCATCGCCTCCGTCGCCGTATCAGTTAGTTGTTAACTAGACGAGACGTTCTCGCGCGTTCGCATCAACCGATCAAGCAACCAACACACCACCCAACCACCCAGCCACCCACACTCATTCATTCACCAACCGGTTCGCATGACAACCAAAGAAACATACAAGAGAGTGAGAGCCTGAGAAAGAGAGAGACGCATTAAGACTAAAAGACGCTACGGCGGCTGAAGGGAAAAGGAAGACACAGCGAAATGCAAAAAGAAATGAATTAAATGTGTCGAATAGTAGAGCCAAATTACTATTCAATTCATTATCGTGCCGCAGCTCGCCGTGAACTTGTCGTCGTGATTAATGCTGTACGAGCTAAAGATATACAAGAACTACATGCACATGCACATGCAAACTGACAAGCACATACTCATACACATACTCATTTGTGGAGTGAAGTTGAAAACGGTTAAACGGTAAAGCGTGTCTCCATTAAAGCATCGTTGGCGAACGGAAACGGTTATCGGTTTTTGCCATCAAATATATTTTGATACGTTTTGAGTGTTCTCGCAAATAATAAAAATACGTACGTGCCAAATTGTGTTTTATTGACACATGTATTTTGCAATTTTATATGCTATAAAATGTTTATAAATAAAAAGTCAATATTTAAATAACACAAACACACGCACGCAAACCTCTAAAAAAGAGAAAGACGGCAAGCGGAACGCAACGCAACGAGCACAAAAAAGAAAAACAACCAAAAAGCAACTACAAAATTTGCCAACAAACTGACAATTAAACCAAGTAGAAAAAAAAAATAGCGCACTTATGTCTAATTGTGTGAGTGAGAGTGTGTGTGTGTACTGATCAATTCTCATGTGCACTGAACACCATAATTAATCAACAACAACAATAAAACGCTATCAGCATCGTCATCAATAGTCAGCATCGGCAACCAACTGAAACGAACTGCCAGACATTGCTTGAGAGCAGTGCGAAGTGTTGAGGCGTTGAAGAGCGAAAGTTTCTTTCGAAAGGAATTTTATAACTTCCAGTCTACGCTCTCGCCCGCACTCTCTCTTTTATAAGTGCTTCGCTCGCTCACTCTTATGCTGCTCAGAAGTGTTTTTGTTGTTAAAGTATTTGGCAAAAAGCTAAAGTTTTGAAAATTTTACAAATCCACATAAATATCAATTTAAAACACATATACGTGTGTGTGTGTGTGTGTGCTTGTGTACGTGTATGCAGAGAGAGAGAAGGAGAGAACTAAGTGCACATGCGTTCCACTTGCGACGAAGTGCCGCTTAAGCCGCCGCGACGCCAAAAGCTTCAGCTTGAACTGCCGCTGCTCGAGCAAAAAGACAAGCAACAGCAACCGCAACAGGACAAAGAGAGCGAGTGCAAAAAGCGTACGCGTGATCCGGTTCAGCGCGCAGAGAGCGAAAATTTGTTACCTCTCAATCCGAAGAGTATGTACTCTAACCTACGGTATGCCCGCACAAATCTCAGCCACAGCAGCCTGCTGCTTAATCATCAGCAGAGCTCGTTCGATGGCAGCGCGCCCACTTCGACGGAGCGCACAGAGAGCAGCGAGACATTGGACACACCGTTAACCCGGGACTCGGACAGAGAGGATGGCAGGCAACCGTTGCCCTCTGCTCGCCTTTTGCCCTGTGCGGCGAATCGGATTGAGACGAAACGCTTTGCTTTGGCAAGTGCATTGCATGCGACAGCTCGGCTGGCAGCGAGTGTGGATGCCTATACAGCAGCAGCGACTGCGTCGGCATCGACGACGGCGACGCATTGTACTGGCAGCCACTGTCATGGCAGCGACTGCAGCAGCATGTGCGACTCGTGTCGACCGCAACGGCAGGCACAGCAGCAGCAGACACAGAACAGCAACAATTTCAGTCGTACCGCCCACTCGGGACCGAGTAGCTACATTGGTTCGGCGCGCTTTCTCAACTTTAGCAATTTGCATTCAGCGAATTCGCCGCACGCGAGCTCGCGCCGCTTCAACGCGCATCTAACATCCCAGCCGCCGCTGCCGCCGCCGCCGCCGCCGCCGCCGCCGTTTCCATTACCATTGGCAGGTGCAGGGCCAGCAGCTTCCATAGTACAGTCCTCGTCCAGTGCATATCCATATCAGTTACGCACATATCAAGAGCATAAATTCTCTCGATTTCAGCCTCGACGCATCACCCGCAGCAGCATGTCGCAGTCTGGCGAGGATCTGCACTCACCCACCTATCTGTCGTGGCGCAAACTGCAGCTGAGCCGGGCCAAGCTGAAGGCAAGCAGTAAAACGTCTGCGCTATTATCAGGCTTTGCTATGGTAAGTTCTCTCTCTCTCTCTCTCTCTCTGTTCTCCACTAGTTCTATTGAACTAGTTCCATTTGCTTTCAACGTACTTTATTATCTAATTTTAATCCGTCGTGTTTAATAAATATCAAAATTAGTTGGCTTCTTTAATTAATTATTAGAAGAATGGCGCAATTGCCCTAGCGTATGCCCTGTAGCCGAATGAAGCAGAGAAATGGGTATAATGGGTTGACTAACAGAGCTACTTGTCAGTTGTATTATACACTTAGGTATATTTTAAATATTCGGAACAGCTTAACTTTGTATATTTTTCTTACCTCTGATTTATGAGAATTTCATCACAGAGAGTTTAAAAAACTCATCAAATTTGCGTATATATTTCTTATCTATATTTAAATTTGTTTACCCAAAATCCCCAAATCTATGAATGACTTGAAACTGATCAATGAACATTATATTACATATTGTACTAATTTATATAAATAAATTTTTTGTTTATGTAATATGAATAATTAGCAAATATTTCTTACATATTTACATAGGCTTTTGATACTTATCAGCAAAATATATTTATAGTTCAGTTGGCGCTATTTCTTATGAGTTATGCACTGCAATATAATATTCTCTCTAGGCATTAGATATACGAGGGATGTTTAAATATAAACTTATGGAAAATGTATATATGTATATAAATTTGTGTGTACATAGGTATACGCCATATGTTAATAATTTTTGGAAAAAAAAAAAACAAAAACAAAAAAAAATGCGATATACTTTTCGAACAGATCTCGTTTATACATTTATATTTATATTAAAATTATATAGTATACAAAAATTAAACACGTTCCATATTATCTACATAATACAATCCACAAAGTCGTTAAGCTCATTAAATCACTTAAATGGTTTGAATAATATTTAATAAATTAAATTTTAAAAAGTAAAAAATTAACCTAATTAAATTTAAAAAAAAGGAATTAAATAGTAAATAATAGATGAAAAAAAAATAATTCAAAATAAATGAAATTGCCAAAACAAAAATAATAATAATAATAATATCAATAATGAAATAAATAAAATAATAAATAATAAAAAATGCAACCGTAAATAATAAATAAAAAATACAACCATAAATAAATGAAGAACTCTAATTATACATTTATTACAAGGTATTTTGTGGTCGCATACTGCTTAACTAATTAATAAATGGCTTGCATACCAAAAACAAATAGAGGGCCGACAGACGAGGATAATCGCATAAATTGGCCGCATACGTAGCATATTGAATTTGTGTATTATATGTGCATGAATATATAAATATATATATTATATATAATATACAGCCAACACATTCTGTTGCCAAAATGTGAACAACATGAGTTGGCTAATAATATAAATAATAAGCACACTAAAGCGAGCCCAGCAGGTAGTCTACCAGCGCGCTCTCTCTCTCTCCCTCTCTCTCTCTCTCTCTATCAGTTCTCTGGCTAATTCTCACTTTCTCTTTTGCTCTTTGCAGGTGGCCATGGTGGAGGTGCAGCTGGACAAGGATACAGGTGTACCGCCTGGCATGCTGGTGGCCTTCGCCATCTGCACCACGCTACTGGTGGCCGTCCACATGCTGGCCCTGATGATCAGCACCTGCATCCTGCCCAACATTGAGACCGTTTGTAATCTGCACAGCATCTCATTGGTGCACGAGTCGCCGCACGAGCGCCTCCATTGGTACATCGAGACGGCCTGGGCATTCTCCACGCTGCTCGGCCTGATACTGTTTCTCGTGGAGATCGCGATACTCTGCTGGGTGAAGTTCTATGATCTGAGCACCACGGCTGCCTGGTCGGCCGTGGTGGTGCTGATACCCGTGATGATTGTCTTCCTGGCCTTTGCCGTTCACTTTTATCGATCGCTGGTGACGCACAAGTACGAGGTGACCGTCTCTGGCATACGCGAACTGGAGCTGCTCAAGGAGCAAATGGAGCAGGAGCATCTCGAGGTGCACAACAATGCGCGCAACAATGGCTTCAACTATGGCGCCTCTGGCGACATTGTATAGTTGACCCCAGCCACACCACAATAAGGAAAACTTTTGTAAAAGACATACATGCTTAAACACACACATAGATGCATATAGACATACATATATATTAGTCCGTTAATCGGACCTTAGACTAAATGCAAAATATTCAGAATTGTGGATTTGTAGCTAATGCAAATTGTGATACGCATAAGCAATATATTATGTTACTCTAATATCTTTTTTTTATATATATATACACATAACTATACAGTACGATATATATATACATAGAGTATGTGTACGACCGAAGTGCTTGCAGTCTATATACATAAATGTAGTCTATATGGTATAAGCCTCCATTATCAGGCGCATGTCTTAACGTTAGTTCGCTGTAATTTATACATACATATAACATATAGTTAATTAAAGCTCTTTACTTTACTAGACAATAGAGACAAATAACAACAACAAAATACCCCAAAACCCCAACTAAAAACATTTTGTATTAGCCCCGTTGGCGTCTTGGCCCTCGTTGCCGCTGAAGCTCGGTTAAGTTTGCGTGTCAGGCATTGGCCTCTATTCCAGCTAATCTATTGTGGCAAGGTACAAGACATGTTAGCAGCTTGATTAGAATAGGGCGCACCACACAAGGCAACGCACCAGCAGCACCGGCACCACCCATTGTGACATCGCCCGCTGGCGACTGGCACCGCCACAGATGACAAATCGAAGCAACAACCAACTCCCGTTCGACAGTTGCCAGCAACATGTCGAGCCGTGCAAGCGGCAGCCACAGTGTGTTCAGATGCCTGCGCTACACCACCGGCGGCGGCTACTACCGGGGCATGTGGTTGGATGGCCAGCATCATGGTTACGGCGTCAAGGCTAGCGGGCGTGGCCTCATCTATGAGGGCCACTGGATGCACGGTCAGCGACATGGCTATGGCACGCTGCGACGTCTCTTCCCAAACGGGCACGCCCAACGCCTCTATGTGGGTCAGTGGGCGGCGAATGTGCGCTGCGGCGAGGGCAAGCAGTATTACGACGACGGCTCCATTTACTACGGCCAGTGGCTGGGCAACGAGCGGAGTGGGCGTGGCATACTGTGGCATGCGGACGGACGCATCTATGTGGGCGAGTGGCTAAAGGATGTGATGCACGGCCGTGGCGTGCTCTATGCGGGTGAGTTGAAAGCGAGAAGCGCTGTGAGAAGCAGGACGGAGAATGGGAGTCAGAGAAGAAAAGAAAGCGGAGTAAACGAAGTAGTGCAATAGAGAAGAAGAGATGAACTGGTGGGAGGGACTGCTGTCTTTGAGAAGTTACAGAAAATGGAGTAAAGCAATAGAGAAGATTAAAGATGGGAACATGAGAGAGAGAGAGGGAGTGGAACATGGGATAAGGAGAGTAAAACAGTAAAGGAACATGAGAAATAGAAACATGGAATACACATGGCAGAGAGCAAAGTAAAGCAATAGAGAAGTTTAAAGTGAGATGAGAGCATAGAAGACTTTAGTAGAGAAGGAGAGCCAGATCAAAATTTTGGAATCATCACTTTTCATTGAGAGAGAAGCGCTAAATGAGAAGCTACCTAGGCTCTTCATGGATTCTTGTATGAGTAGAAATCTTTTATATATGTATGTGAATATATCAACTATATGACAAAGATTCACCCAAAATAATATATATATATTTGTAATGCTTAGTTTCCTATAAGTTAATTTAAAGAATATATAAAAATCTATTACGATATAACCTGAGAAACTAAACGTTTAGTTTTCTTGCTTTTGCAGCGAAATTTTAAATCAAAGAAGTCTTCATGCATTATTCCTCTAAACAAAATTCTTTTATGCTATAAAGATTGAGCATGTCGTAAATCTACTTCTAGAAATAGAGTTAGCGTCACATAAACCACATTTGTTTCCGCTTTAAAATTTGCAAATTAGAGAAGCAAGCTATAGATAAGCTATATAAGAGAAGAGGTTTATCAAGTATTGTTTGGGCAAAGCTCCACTTGATAAATGGGAAGAGCCAAGGCGAGAGAAACATGCTAAACCCATAACTGCTCTCCACGCTTCTCGCTCACACGTGCCGTTTCTCATTTTGTTCCCCATTCATTCGCAGCCAATGGGAACCGCTATGTGGGTGAATTCGCTGACGGCTGCAAGTCCGGCATTGGCGTCTATCATCACCAGAGCGGCGAAGGTCAGAGCGTGCAGCAGCACGGCCTTTGGAGCGATAACGTATGCAAAACTTCGCTGATGCCACTGAAAAGACCCGAATCACACCCGGCCAAGTCAGATGATCTTTGAGTGAAAAATGTATATATGTATAAAAGGTGATAAATAATATTTGTGCTAACTAGGCGAGAGCATACGATTATGTATATCTAAGCGTAATCAGTTCCTCTGGCGACGCCTGCTGCTCAGCGACTCGGCTGGTGTCTGCTGCTCGGTCGTTTGCTGCTGGCGTCGGGTGCGCATACGCGTGCTAGGCGTCTTCTCCTCCGGCGTAACATTGCGCCGTGTTGCGACGGGTGCGGTTGCTGTGCGTCTTAGGGTCGCCTCCACCTGCAGCTGGGCACGCGTTCGAGTGCTGCGCACAGATCTGGTTGGCTTCAGCTTTGCCACTGGCTCCGTCTCATTGTCGCTCAGGTCCAGAATCTCAATGAGCTGGCAGGCATTCAAATCCAGACGCTTGCCAGACTGGCGTTCCGGACTGCTGCCTATGTCGCTGGAGCTGCTGCTGCCGTTGCTGCTGCCACTGGTACTAAACGGATGCACTTCCTCCGTATAGATGGTAAATTTAGCCGGCTTCTTGCCAGACTTGACTTCCGTTTTGCTCAAGGACTTCGGTTTCTCCTCCGGCGATATATTGAAGGTCAGGGCACGCCTTGGATTCTGTTGCCTTGGCACCGGCTGCAGCTCGAGCCGCGCTGCACTCAGCTGCAGCAGCAGATTGTAGCGGTAGTTGATGTCCACACGCGACTGCAGCTGCTCGCTGCCGGCCAGCTTCAGCGCGGCCTCGGTCAGCTCGATGGCCTGCTGCTGCCGTCGCTTGGCACGCAGATAGTTGGCCTGATACATGTGCAGCACGAGCAGCATGTGCCCCAATTCGTTGCCACGCGCCGCATTCTGCTGCAGCCACTTATTGGTCAGTGCATAGAAATCATCCAGCTCATCAAGCTCTCGATTCAGAAAGTACAAGCGAGCATAGAAACAGCCCACGACAAAGTAGACGCACTGCAGCTGCACGCTGGAGCGCATAACGGGATGCGACTGTTGCATGTCCAGCGAGACATACGGCTGCAGTTTTTTGGTCGTGCTGCGCGGCTGCAGTTCCTATGGAGGAGGAGAAGGAATGAAGTGAGAGGCTGATATTCGCTTCATCTCCATCTTTACTTACTCGTTTCGGCGAGGACACAGGGTACTGTTGCTGCTTGCGTATGGGCTCCACGCTGACCTGCTCCAGCTGCATGGCCAGCATTTTGCCCACCATTTCGCTCATGTGCTTGGACTGCGCATCCATCGGAGCAGCGGGCAGCAGTTCCTGGCGCTGCTCCAGCGCAGCCATCGACTCGAGCAGCGGCTGTATGCAGAGGAAGTGCTCGATGATGCGCAGCTTGGTGTGCGCTTTGTCCAGGCACTCCATGCGCAAATTGGTCCACAGCCAACAGATGAGCACCTCGACGGCGCGCAGCACCAGGCCGCCCTGGAGCAGCACCTGCAGCAGGCTGTTCGAGAAATTGGGTCGTTCACTCAGTCGATTGGCCGTGCATTCGGTTGTGTCGCGCACCATGTCACCGAGCAGCAGGATCAGAGCTCCATTATCCATGGACGAGATGGTGGTGAAGCTGCGCACGCCCTCCGTCAAGGTGTCCAGCTGCTGCAGCGCCGTGGGCAAGCGCTCTAGCAGGCGGCACTGGCGCTGCTGATAGCACATGCGAAAGCGAACCGTGTGAATGGTCAGCTGGACTATGTCGCACTTGCCCGCCCGCTCCTCGAACTCCTGGCGCAGCCGCTCTGCGTGCAGCAGCAGCAGCTGGGCGTGGCAAATGCAATCAAGGCGCGCATAGTACAGCGCCAAGTGGCACAGGCAGAGCAGCACCGTCGTATGATGGCGTTTCAGCAGGTGTGGCGCCTGCAGCTGCGGCCACAGCTCATCGAGCAGCTGCTCCGCATAGGCAACCTCCACATCCAGCTTGAGCAGCGCGTGCTGCGTGTAGCGCGGCAAGAAGTGGCTAAGCGCACGCAAGTAATTGTAGCTATCGCCCAGCAGACGGCTGATGCGCATTAGCAGCAGCCACGCCCTGTCCGCCTGCTGCGTATAGCCCATCGTAGACAGCGCCATGGCGGCCACAATGCCGTCATCAATCAGCGCCTCCCAGTCGATGAGCGCCTCGTCACTGCTCAAGAGCTCGGCATCCGCCTGAAAAGAAGAAGCCATTTAGGTATATTAAGCCTAGGAATTATGTCCATATGCTATACTTTAGACTACGGTAGATAATAGACTAGAATGACTTTCTACCACAATCTATAACATATACAATTCCACCTCCAGTTCACTTCCTCTCTCACCTGCTCAAAGAATTTGCCAAAAGCCTCGATTGCCATTGTCGCCAATTCCACGAGCGGCATTTCGCTGCTTATGTTAAGCTCCAATAGATTGTATTTGATGAGCAGCTCCTCGATTGTCTTCTCCGATGTCTCCTTGAGGGGTATTTTGGTCTTCTGAGCCTCGAGCGCATCCAAGAGTTTGGTGACCGTCGCATGGCCTAGGATGAGCTGCTGCAGCCGCGTCAGCTGTTTGTTCCGTTTTAAATTAATGCGCAGCGCTTCGATTTGCTGGCCAATCGCCTTGTCCGTGCGTAAATGCCGTGACACAAGCACCTTTTGGTAGTCGGTTAGGCAGTGCTGCAGCAGCGACTGCAGCAGCTGCGGCGTCTTCTTATTAGCCAGCACCGCCAAGATGTCCATCTCGAGTAGTCGTCGCCGCTCAGCTGGCTCTATGGGATTGCAGAGCGTGCCCTTCGCGTGCAGCTCCAGCAGGCATTGGTCTGCATCGTTCTTGGGCGTGCGATAGTAGATGCACAGCTGTTGGTATTGGCGTGCGGGACAGCTTAAGCTGGTGACATAGGCGCAGTGCAGACGCGCTGCGAGCTCCGGATGGGAGCAGTGGGCGCTGGCCTTGTAGATGCGACGTATTAACTGTCTGACGTACGGCGGAGTCAGAAGCGGGCGCAGCTGCTGCAGTGGCTTCAGCAGCATCTCCAACAAAAGCATCTGCTCAGAGGAGTCTATCTTCTCCGCTATGTTAACCAGATGCCAGGCAAAGAAGATCAACTCGGTGCTGTTGGGCGTGAAGCATTTGGTCACTATAACTACATTGATGGCATAGTGAATGATGCCAGCCAAACACTGCTGAGACACCTGAAAGCGAAGATCATAAGGATTACTAAGAGCAGCTGACATAGCTTTTAGATGAGG